GTACTGTGTACACAGTATAGGTAAAAGTTTTTTTTTCATTGATAAACGGTAAGTAATAGTCTTGATGATTGCACGCGAATAATTTAAATAGATACTCTCTATCTTTGTATTATATTATTATAGGTAGTACATAATTATGGTATACTTAAAATAGCAAAATACGACATAAATACAAACTATTTAAAATTAAATTTTATATTAAAACTATACCCACTGCTTTTAAAAGAAAAAGGAAATCCTGATTAGGTACCTATTGTTTAACAAATTACAGAAAATCGCAATAAAATCTAATTTCTTTAGTAGGTACTTTTCGATTATCGTGACTACCGACCATAGTAGTTACACACTACATATAGATCAAGATGCGCCACTCGTTGCACTCATTCTGACAATCTAATCGAAAACATCGCTTGATTTGCTATGATGAAAAATCACCTTGAGTAGGTCTCAGAGCAGTCCTGTAAAGTATTTGAATAAAAGTATTCAAATACTTTTTAAGTATTGAATAACTTTTTAAATACTTTCAGCATGAAGTATTTTGAATGGTATTTTAAATACTTTTTTTTGTATTAAATACTTTTTGGTATTGAATACTTTGGTTTTTTATTTCGAACATTTTATTTTTATTCGAAATAATTTTAGAAATTTTAGAATGAATTAAGAACATAAAATAGGTAGTATCACCAATGGGTGGTTTCTTCCCTCAAAAAAAAAATCATACGCAAATACCCTATGCACATTTGCTTATTGTTCTAGTTAAGAACAGATTGTAAATTTCATGTAAAAATAAAAAAAAAAAATGTAATAAACATTTATTTAATAAATAATAAATAAAAATGATTATAAATTTACTACCTATGTGTCTATATTACAATAATTAGAAACCCACTTTAAAAACCAAAAGTATTTGAAAAGTATTCCAAATACTTTTTCAAAGTATTTGAGTAGTATTTGAAATACTATACAATTAAAGTATTTGAGTAGTATCTTAAATACTTAACTAGATTAACTCGAGAACTACCCAAGGTGGTTTTACATATCAAGTTGAGGGTTGATTTTGATTAAAGTACCCTTTATTTTTACTCTGGTAACTTCTAAAACCTATTTATGTTAAAAATTATTGATTTTTTTAATTTATTACCATAAGAGCATGTACAAATACAAATTAAATACATTAGTATGCTGTATACTGTGCATATGTTAAAAGGAAACAAGACATTTTGATTGGATATCATGAATATGTCTAACAAGTCCTGTGAATTAACTGATGATTTTACTTAAATTATTAATTTCTTTACATTTAATTATTATAATAATATTACAAGTCTATAAGTATGTCGTTTTCCAATAGTGTGTTTCATTGTTCTTGTGAAAATATAAATAAGTATCATTTCTATTTGGTTAATTGGTTAACCCTTTTTCATCCTTACATTCCTTTCTTATCTTATAATCTATCTCCCTAGCTTTCTCGGAAAAGAGTTTTTCATTCAAGGTTGATATTTAATACTTTTATTATCTGTGTTCTATCAATCCTGTGACAGAAGTTTGTATCAGAAGTATTAAAATTGTTATATAGCCATATGGGTTGCCTGGAAAAGACTTGCTCACCCTAGGTCAATGACCATTATAAGTTTTATAGAGTGTCAATGTCGTCCTCGTCATACAAAAAGTGGCTAAGTAAATTTTTTATAATTTTAATTTAGATCGTGAATGGAGCAATAAATGTATTGATTTCCCATGATTTGTTATTTTATTTAATTGTTTCTGAAGAAATTGCTATTAGTAAAAATAATTTTTTTTTTTGAAAAAAACAACCTTATATAAGAAATTTAGTATTACATTTTAAAATTTAAGATTTAAAAAGAAAATTTTTTGGAATTTCTAACTTAAAATAATTTGTATATTTTTTCGTGATTTTTGAGATTTTTGAGATTGTCAATATGAGCTTATAAAGCTTATAATTTTATGCATATGAAAAAAAAACTGGATTTTTATATTTTTCAAATATTATTGTAGCAATATATTAAGAGCCTTGTATTAAAATTTCAAGCTCTTTTACCTAACAAATAACATTTTATTGACATTCATAGAAAAAAAAACTAAAGAAATTGAAACTGAAAATATTATCGTGTAGCTATAGAAAATGCTAATATAAACAACCGACCACTGAAAATTTTTTTTTTTTGTCGAAAACCGTAAAAATTCCTGCTGTTCCTTAATTTTCTGTTCTTTTTCCTTGCAATTTCGAAAACAATTAGGAATTTTTACTTTTACCCCTCCCCCCACCACAACAATATACTGTTGAAGTAAATTCAAGTATTTTTACTGTCCTAAAAGGTGGTCACAGACACACACAAAAAAAATATATTTTTGTAAAATCAATACATTCATCGCTCCGCTCAGAATCTAAAGTAAGGTGGGCAAGTAGATTTGAATTGTTTAATTTAATGATATATCATTGGATACATATGTTTGTATTTATTTTTCTCGATTATTTTAAAATGTACTGAGAATGTTCAATTTTTACTCCTCAAAAGTAGGTGTACCTAGGTACAACATCAAATTTTAGCTACGTACCAGAAACCTCCATCCGAGCATTTTTTTACAAAAAGTGTATCCAAACTAAAAAAGGTGCTCTGCTGTACAGTAGGTTACAAGTGGGTAACTGTATAATGGATGGTATCAAATTTGAATTTGTGTTTAAAAATGTTGAATATGTTATAAAATAAATTGCCTGTCAAAAATAAAGAAACGATTGTCTTTTTTTGTTTTAACGAAATTCCATATCATCGATCCATACCTAATTGTTAAAAAAAACAGCATACAATGACATAAGATACACCCTTTATATTTTTTTATTTTTGTATAGTAAAAATTATACAATAATATAAAGTCGTTAATATGTAATGATACAATTATTTTGAAGTTAAAGTTGAAAGGGGGCCCACTAAGTGTATGGTGTCCCGGGGCCCAATTGATCCTTAATCCGGGCTTGATTGTGATGATATCATCACTTAAGACATTTGTTAATTATTATATTTATAGTTTGAATATTATGTACTGTTTTATCACAAAATAAAATAACTATGTGATTGTATTATGATAGGTATTTGAGTTAATCAACAAAATAATATAAAACACACTTTTATTTTCGTGGGTTTTTTTTAATTTTTGGGTTTTTTTTCCGTGGTCATTTTTTCCTCTTACCAATTATAATACATATTATACATATATACTTATCTATGGTATTAAAAAAAAATTGACCTATAATGGGTACCTATAATTAATTCCAAATTAATCATATCACAATATCCATTAGGTACTTATAACCTCGTTGTACATCAACAAAAAACCGTGATACTATCATAGATATAATAGTCCACTTTAGAAGTTTCAAGTACCCACGAATAATATTATACAATCACAACAAAATAACTATGTTTTTTAATATGTAATTTCGTCCAAATTTGAACTTAAATGACTATAAAAATAAACTGTGCTTGTGTATTTTTTTTAGATTTTTTGGTAATAGAATTAACTACTTACATGAAATCTTGTTTTAAATTTTCAATCCTTAGATATAAAAGTTGAACATTTTATAAATTTTTAACTACAAAATAATTATTCAATTTTAAATTTGATAAATTTTGTCAAAATTCGATCTTTAAATGCTTATAAAAAAAAAATTGTGCCTATGTATTTTTAATATTTTTCAACTGATGTTGTAACAATACATCAGGAGCCTTGTTGTAAATTGTTACACTTTTTGGCCCAACAGATAAAACTTTTTTTATATTTTTAGAAACAACAACTAAAAAAGTTTAAAACTGTAAATGTCCGTAAACAGCTCAAAAAGCGTCAAAATATTTTCATTTAAAATATAAAAAATGAAAACGTCCCTAAACAGTTCAAAACAAATCATAATATTTAAAAAATTTTGGTGCTGCTCGGATATGCGGTCTACCGACATTTTTCTGCTCAGATATGCGGTCTACATATTTTGTAGACCGCACACCTATAATACGCAGTAAATAGTTATAGTAGTATGTAAATAAATAACCAAATTAAAATAATAATCAAATATTTTAATTATTAGTCTATTAGTAAAAATCATTAAAAATAATGGTATGTAAATAAATAATACAATACGCAATGTCAGAATTCAAAAATAATTTTAAAAAAAGCAAAAAAATATTACTAAGAAAATTAAAAATTATGTAAAAAAATATTAAAAATAATTTTATGTATAAAAACCTTAACGATAAACTGCTTTAATGTCCCTCAAAAATGCTATAAATAAATCAGGTTCTTCTTTCCTAGCAACTTTCCAACAATAGTGGTCGAGATGCGATTGCAAAAGTTGCATGGTTGTGCCTCTCATCGTTTTCATGATTTTTGTTTTTGCATCCAACCATGATCTCTCTATGCTCTGAGTGTAAGCTTTCGTCAAAGGATCAACGTAGTTTTGCTGGTGGTTAACAGTGTTATGAATATATCCATATCTTTCAAACATCTATAGGCTGCCCACTCGTCTGAATTAATAACAGAGCCAGGTTCACACTCTCGTAGAATAATTGGTAGTAATGTGTTTTTGTCTCTTCGAAGAACATAAAAATATAGAAGTCAGAACCATTTTTAAGCCCAAAAACCCAAGGTCCATCAACTCTTCGTCCATGGTTTCTACCGTTGTGTATTTCAGCATCACTGTCTTCCGATGAAGCGGATTGATCGCCATTAAGTAACCTTCCACGATTATAATATTTCCTTTTTCCGGCAAATCTTGCCTCATCAATCTGTATTGGATTTATGACAGTTCCCAGTATCTTTGGTCGTTTTTGAACAATACTTGAACATACTTCACGACACATGTTAAACCAGTCAGTAACTGTCTCCTGGCACCTACCTGTTAGGGTGGCTGTTGTTCTTAGAGGTATGTCCAATACAAAAAAAAACCAATTCTAATATTTCTGTCAATTTTAGTTTACTATTAGACTTTTTTTTCAAGTCCTCATAGTGAAAAAATTCATTGCCTTGTCGTACACTGCGAGAAGTCTGGCACCCTTTTTTATTTTGCACCGAAGAACCGGACGAAATTCACCCCCGCGATCGCGTTTTCTACTATTTACCATTTCACTACCGTACTTATGGCATGGTAGCGTTTCGTTGGCAGTATCTATTAAGCCATGCTCCCTTAAAAATGCAGTGGCATTTTCTTCACTACAAGTGACGGTCGAATAGAACTCTTTTAATTTCATGATTATACACGGTTAGGTTACTGATCGACGGCTGTTCGATTACTAACAAACTTAATAAATACACTACCACACTGTGGTAAATCAGTGATTTTGTCTTTTAGTACCCAACAATAAATATAGGCGGAAAATACAAAACTATATCGTAGGTATACATTATATTACAGCAAATTATATTTGAGTCAATTTTATCTTTTAATGTTTTTTTTATCGCTGCTCAGATATGCGGTCTACATACATGTTTGTAGACCGCGTCTTGTCGGTAGACCGCATATCCGAGCAGCACCAAAATTTTATCGTTATAGAAAATGCAAATATAAAAAACCAGTGAACATTTCATGTATATACGTTCATTTGTTTTAGAGTTAGACCAAAAACCAAAATCGATTTTTTGGAAAACAGATTTTGCGTAAAAATTCCCGTTATTCCTTAATTTTTATGTGTTTTATCCCGGCGCTTGTGAAAGCTATTGGGAATTTTAAAATTTGAACTACCGTATGCACCAACTAGATTCACTTTCCAATCAAACAAGATACTGAAGTTGAAAATCGAAGCATTATTTCGACCTCTTATCGTGTACACAGACACAAAAAAAAAATAAAAAAAAAAACATCATTGTAAAATCAATACATTCATCGTTCCACTCAGAATCTAAAAAAACACCCATCATTTTATAATCAATACCTACATTCTTTGCTATTCGCTTAATGAACCTAATTCGAACAAGTGTTAACATTTTAATATTATTTAAATAATTATTTAGTAACCTTAGTTACCAAAAAAGAAGACCATTTTCGATGTTTTTAACTTTTTTTACCCAGTCAAAAAAAGCTAGTACAAGGTTCTTCATAAGTTATTATTGAAACTAATATGAAAAGCATACTTGACACTTTTAACTAAAACAGTACAATACTACAGTCGTACAGTAGGTAGGTCTTTTTATAATGAATGGCGGACAATTTCCCCCCGACTGTTTTTGAAGTACTAGTAAAATAGGCAACTTTGATAAATTTGTACCGTTTTATTACAATTTTACTTTTTATTTTATGAATAACTTCTGTAGTATTAACGATAAAATTCCAAAAATTAAATCTTAGTTATAGCTAATTATCCTCAATTGTTTAACATTTAAATGTTTAAATTTCTGATGTTATCTTCTGAGATATTAATCTTTTTAAAATGCTATCAAAGTTACACCACATTGTGGGCAACTTTGGTACCAGCATTTCGTAATGTGTTATCAAAGTTACCCCATTTTATGAAAAATTATTAAATTGTCGTGGTACTATGGAGAATAAAAATATCATATTATTAAAGTTACCCCACGAAATCAAAGTTACCCCATTCTACGGTAGTAGGACATTTTCCCGCCATTATTTTTTTTAGTTTACTATTTAATAATATAATATAATTTATTATTTAATAAGGAATTATTTTCTTTTAATAAAATATAATTTTTTTTTTATTTTTCATAAATATAATTGTACATAATTATACTATAAGTACCTAATATAGTAGATTTATATTTTTGATCAATTCATCTACTTGAAACAATAAAATAATAGTAATTTTTAGACTTATATACAAATTGTTTACGTTTTATTATATTCATGAAAAAAAAAATTAGTCATTTTTATTAGTTATTAATTATATTTTATGTAAATACCTATATAAAATTGCATTTATAATTATAATTTATTATTTTTATGAAAAAAAAAATAATTTTTAATAATGGGGGGGAAATGTCCAGGGGAAATGGTCCGGATACCATTATATAATAACGATAAATTGAATTTTCGCTGTCAATTACGAACACAATTATTATTTAGGTTTAAGTAGAAAACTACGATATTAATATCTATTATTCGCAATACATACATTATATTTAAGTTTCAAATTGTATATAATACCCCTTCAAACCGTTTCGAAAACCCAAAAAACGAATAAATAGGTAGGTACGCCACAACAAATTATAAAAAAAAGTTCAAAAATAACAACTAGCGATTGTACTAACGAATTTATAATTAATGTGGTGTGGCTGTATTGAATAATGCGTAAGTTTTTATATTACTGAAAACCTAAAAGTGTACCTCACGCACGGGGAATGCTTTTGAAAGAAAAAAAAACCGATTTTTTCCCCTTTTATTTTAGCGGCATTGATATAGACACGACCGCGAACGGAAATCATTACGGTGACGTCATCTTTAAAACTGAATTAAACATTTTCAAAAAGGAAATAATATATACTTTCACTCTCGCTCTATACGTGTTATCGTTTCCAAGATATTTATCTAGTACTTAGTTCTTTATCATTTTTAATACTGGAATTAAAAAATAAAACTATTGTAAGTCCCCAATAATTTTGTACGAGGGTAAAATATAAAAAGTTGATCATAATAATATATCCACGAATATTTATTTGAGCATCTAGAATTTATTTTTAACGAAATTCGATATTCATGTGTATAATAACGATTTCTCATCAATAAATTTTCTTATTTTGTTGTTATTCAAAAACTAATAACCGTAGATACTTTAAAATTTTACCAAATGTTTGTATTAGAATTTTCTATACATGGTGTAGGTTTGAAAATATTTTCATATTACTGTAGATAAAATGTTTTTCCCTCAATCAAAAAACTTTAAATGTCAATCTAAAGTTGATCGTAAATATTCAGTCATTTTTTATGAGCGTCGAAGTTAGAATTTTGATAAAATTAGCCAAAATTTGCAAATATTTTGAGTCAGAAATTCATAAAAAATGCTCAATGTATATGCAAGATTTGAAAATTGAATGAAAGATTCCTCATTAGTCTTCTTACCTTAAACAAAAAAAAAGTTTAACGGAAAGTCAAATTAATTTTTTATGAGCGTTTGAAGTTTAAATGTTTTTGGCATTTGATATTTACCCGTAAATTTACGAATTCTCATCCAACGATTTTCTTATTTTGTTGTAATTCAAAAACTATTAACTGAAGGTGGTTGACATTGTCACTTAATTTGTATTTAATCTTTTTTTATTAATGATGAAATGTTCAAAATATTTTTATTCGTTTTAAACTTTTTATAGACATTTGAAATTTCAATTTTAGATTCTGAGTGAAACGATGAATGTATTGATTTTACAATGATGTGTGTTTTTTTTTTTTTTTTTTTATTTTTTTATTTATTTTTTTTTTTTTGTGTCTGTCATCACGTTTTAGGACAGTAAAAGTGCTTGGATTTTCTTCATCAGTAGCTTTTCTGATAGGAAAGTGAATCTAGTTGGTACTTTGGGGGGTCAAAAGTATAAATTTCCCAGTAGTTTTCACAAGCGCCGGGAAAAACAACATAAAAATTAAGGAAAAACGGGAATTTTTACGCAAAATTGGTTTTCCAAAAAATCGATTTTGGTTTTTGGTGTAACTCTAAAACAAATGAAGGTATATACATGAAATTTTCACTGGTTGTTTATATTTGCATTTTCTATACACGATAACATTTTCAAAATATTTTGATTTATTTTGAACTGTTTAGGGACATTTTCATTTTCCATTTTTTTTTATTTTTTTTTCTAAAAATATCAATAAAATTTTATTTGTTGGTTGCGAAAGCTTGAAAATTTAATAGAAGGCTCCTAATATATTGTTTCAAAGGCAGATGAAAAATATTAAAAATCCTTAGTCACAATTTTTTTTTATAAGCATTTAAAGTTCAAAAATTGACAAAATATGGAAAAATCACGAAAATTAGCAAATTATTTTGAGTTAAGAATTCGTAAAAATTTGCTTTTTAAATCTAAGATTTGAAAATTAAACACAAGATTCCTTATAAGATTATCTACCTTTATCAAAAGAAAAATGTCTATAAGAAAGTCAAATTAAATTTTTATGAGCGTTTGAAATTCAAATTTTTACAACATTGAATATTCACTCGATTTCCCATGTAGCGATTTCCTTATTTTGTTGTAATTCAAAAACAAATAACTGTAGATACATGAAAATTTCACCGAATGTTTATATTAGCATTTCCTATACACCATACAATTTTGAAAATATTTTGACTCTTTTTGAGCTGTTTATGGACATTTACAGCTTTCAATTTTTTTTAGTTTTTTTTTCTATAAATATCAATAAAGTTTTATCTGTTGGGCCAAAAAGTGTAAAAATTTAATACAAGGCTCCTGATATATTGTTACAATAGCAGTTGAAAAATATTAAAAATACATTGGCACAGTTTTTTTTTATAAGCATTTAAAGATCAAATTTTGACAAAATTTATCAAAATCTCGAAAATTATCAATCATTGAAATTAATAAATTATAAAATGTTCAATTTTTATAGCTAAGGAGTGCAAATTTAAAACAGAGGTTCTCACAAATAGTTCATACTGTAACCAAAAAATCTAAAAAATATATGAACACAGTTATTTTTTACAGACATTTTAAATTCAAATTTGGACGAAATTACATATTAATAACCCTAGAATAACTATTTTAGTTATTTTGTTGTGATTGAATAATATTATTCGTGGGTACTTGAAATTCTAAAGTGTACTATTATATATCTATGATAGTATCACGGTTTTTGTTGATGTATAACGCGTTATAAGTAAATAATGGATATTGTGATATGATTAATTTGGAATTTATTATAGGTACCTATTATAGGTCAATTTTTTGTTTAATACCATAGATATGTATATAATATGTATTATACATAGACTGACATACCGCTCCGCTCAGAATCGTTTTTCTTATACAATGATATTATATCGTTGAATTCAAATTTAATATCATCCATTATACAGTGACCCACTTGTAACCTACTGTACAGCAGAGCGACACCCACTTGCCCACCTTTTTTTAGTTATTTTTCTTAAAAATGTCAATCAAATTGTTTTCGTTTGATCGAAATGCTTGAAAATGTAATACAAGGTTCCTCCTAAGTAATTATAATAGCTGTTTAGAAACATTAAAGATCCATTCCTACGTTTTTTTTTTATAGACATTTTAAGTTCAATTTTGGACGAAATTATAGATATTTAAATAAAAATTATCGATTTTGTTGTAATTAAAAATATTATTTGTGGGCCCTTGAAACTTTTTAAGTATATAATTAATTATAATATTTTATACACATAATAACATTTTTAAATGCAATTTTTTCGGAAAAGGATCATTTCACCTACTAGTAGTACTAATGCCAAATAGTAGTATAAATATATAGTATACAATTATTTATATCATTGAATTAAAATTTAACCCATCCGTTACAGCAACCCCGCTAGACACCTAATCTACAGCAGACCGACTTCCCCGGTTTTTTTTTTAAATATAGAAGGAGATTGAATTTTGATATTATTATATAAGAATATCACATTTTATTTTCAGTTATAATACAAAATGCCTACTTCCAGTCGACTGTTGGTAGATGGCATTTTTAGACAATTGAATGATTTATCATGACGTGCTCTTTATTCTCTTATCAAATGTACTTATTGTGATATTTATAATTTAAAAATATAATTAATATAATTTAAAAATATAATTAATATAATTTTTAATTAATAATTGAATATTGTATGAATGTATTTTAGTGTCATCTCTAGACTGCAATTAGTTTTATCATATTTTAAATTGGGTTCAACTCGTTTAGATATTTATTATCAATAAATAAATAATCTGTAATAGATGTAGGAATTACTAATTAAAAATAAATACTTTGACTGTTAAACAATTCATATAACTGGAGATTAGAGTGACTTATTGTTTAAATACAATTATCGTATTAGGTATGTTGTACATTGATTCGTTGGTCACTTTATTCAACAGTCTTTCATTTATTCGTCGTATGTAACTAATGTTTTTTTGTTATACCGAAATTGTTGCTCTTTATTCGATTAAAACATTTTATAAGGTAAGATTTTTAATTTTGTGTAAAATACGGTGAGCGGTAATATATGAAATATAAAATTCGATATTGGTTTTACGAAAAAAATAAAACAAATATTCTGTCACAAACGTTGTCGTATTGACTATTAAATAATTATTTATAAACGGTGAGTGGCGCGTCGCAATATGAAAACTGGTTTTGACTTATTGTTAGGTATGGTTACAGTAGTGCGCGGGGTGATGGTATGAACGTTGTTTTCGAATGCTACCGCTATAGTCAGCAGAGCATCACATGATGACTGTAAATTTCTAATTTTTCTCTTAAATCTGGAACGTGGTTATTTAGAAAAACTTCTCACGCTTATTTTAGTGAAAAAATCACGTTTCTACGACTAACGAAGACTGAGGGAAATGCGATGTACGAGAGCACGTTTTTACGGTCGAATTTTGTAACCAAAACGGACCCTAACAGATTGTAAATTGTAATTTGTTTAAGATTCCCTCAAAATTGTTTGAATACTTAATTTTTTAGCACACAATAAACACTATTATATTATATAGGTGTTGCAACGAAAGTGATAGGCTTTTGCTCTAGTAGATGAATTTGTATCACAATTAGTAGCCTACTTACTAAGAGCTGATTTGATTCATTAATACCAAATTTCTCATTGATTTATATTTTTCCAACCACCTAGTCTCACACAGAAATGGAATATTGAAAACTGCCTTAACACACTGTCTCTAAAGAATTTAATTGTTTCATGACTGTCCTAATTGTATTATAAATTTCAACAGTCTATTTTCTTATTTAGGTAATTATTGACTATTATTATAAATTAAACAAATAATAATTATTTTACTACTAAACTTATATTGAATTCTTATTAATGGTTTTTATATAAAGTATTGCACATGTACAAAATAATAATGTGACATAAAAGATATAATACATAGGAAAATGAAAGATTTATCAATATCAGAATCCACAGTAACACCAACACTAGTTTTTTTAACCAATAAATTGTTATTTTTAATACTTGTTGTATTACCAATGGTTCTGTTTTAGATTTCACCTCTTTATGAATAACTTCATCAATTTTAAGCAAAGCAAAGCATATAAAAAAAGACCATTCACTTCTAATTGATAAAATATTGTAGGCACAAAATAATAATACGTATGACAATTATTGCAGTTTTTGATTCATATTATATTTTTGAAGGTATAAGTGTATAACTAAAACTAAGTTAAAACATTTGAGTACCTTTTGAATTATATTGCATTATAATAATTCCCAGGATACCACAATATATAATTACCAGAGTATATAGATATGTGATATCATCAATTATTAATGAATCTTCACCAGTTTTAAATTTATTTTTCCAATTTATTAAACATGTTTAAAAAAAAAAAAAAAAATTACCTATATATTTGTTTTATAAGTCATTTACTTTGAACTATAAAGAATATTGTATTATTTACAAAAAAAAATGTAGGATTAAATTTTACTTATCTCATTTTTTTTATTTATAGTGTTTTGAATAATTGAAAATGGCTGATCCTGGATTTCCAAGTCAACATACTACAACTACTACTGTCACGAATACAGAAATTATCTCAAACCTGAGATATGACAATGCATATCTATACACACTAGAAGGAAAATTGAAAATTGCCCAAATTGTAAGTATTTAAAAAAAAAATGCTAATATTTGGAATTCATACAACATTAAATCATATACATTTTGGTTACAATTGGAAAACTAAGTAGGTACTCATTTTGCAACTTTAAAGCTATCTGTTATACCTATAATTTGTATAAATAAAACTCTTGTAACTTAGTAAATTATAATAATAATTAGGATATCTTATCACTGGTTTTGTAACTTTAAGAGAAATTAATTTATTAAGTTTTAACATGGATAAAATAAACAAAAACAACAGGTTTCTTCAACAATTTGTAGATATGTAAAAAACTAAAATAAAATATACCAATAATTTATAAAAATAATTTAGTTAAAAGGCTGTTATATTTAAAATTATTTTAAGGTTAATCCTTTAATGCTCCAAACATACTATTGCGTCCAAAAGATTTACACCATTCCCTGCTCCAAACATACTACTACGTCCCTGTATTTTATAATATTCTCATTTTCTGGTAACCGTACAAGTTTTGGAAACTATGGTTTACATTATTTTGAACTTTAGTAATTAGGTCGTATAGATCTCAAAATTAAAATCTTAAACAATTTTTTTAAATTTAAAAAAAAAACAATACATTTTTTATTTTATGTAGCATACATTTATGTTGCAGTGGATACATTTTGTAGCAGTGGAAGGGTTAAACAATTTTGTTACTTAAAACTAATAATAATAATAATAATAAAAAATAATGCACAATATAAAGTGGTTTTGTCATCAAGTATTGAGTCATTAGGATAAATACATAGATCTCCAACATTTTTCAAGCAACCCTTTGAAAGATACACCATTGAATTATTTATCACATTTTTGTTGTGCAAAACAATGTACTGTGTATGAGCTCCAGTTTGTGGGTCTATACAATATTCACTGTAATTAATAATTATACTCTGTTCAAAATGAAATGATAACTTGGCGGCCCAGTTGTGCGCATGGGTGTGGCTTTGTTCCATTGTATCGCTCAACGCGTCTGACCGCCGCCCTACAAAAACTGGTCGCCGCCAAGTCATCATCTCATTTTGAACAGAGTATAGATGGATAAATTCAGGTTGCTTCAAAGTTGAAGGGGGGGTAAGTCGGGGTATTGTCCCGTCTACCTTCCCCGCATGTATAAATTGTTTGATTTATCAAATAAACGATGACGGCGCAGTGGAAGTAATGCGAAAGCAATTCCTGTGTCGTCGTTGTTTCCAAACAGAAAAAAAAAAAAAAAAGGTTGCTTCAAAGTTGTGTCTTAGTGCTTTCCATTTATCACTTAATGGTTGTCCATAGTTTTACTTCTCTTATAATTATGGACAAAAGTGTATTGTGCATCTATTTTTTGATAAAAAAAACAAATAATAAGCTTAAAACCCACAGTCCATATACCTATGAATTATGATCCATAATCAATTAAAAGTGAAACTGGGTCCTATTCGGCGATTGCATTAACCAGGAAAATCAGGATTTGCTAAAATAGTTGGTAAATTGATTTATAAATTTAATAATAAATATCGATTTTAGCAGTATCTCAATTTTCCAACTTATATTTTTTTAATTTACTATATGGTATCACTATTTTTCTGGATTTCTAAAGAATACTGCAGTAACTGCATTTTATTTCATACGTTATACACAATAAAATTGAGTTACTGCCTTATTTGTTGCGCACGTCAATATAAGGTACCTACATAATTATATTTTATTTAATTAATAAGTAATAAAAATACTTATTTTAAAGTGAACCTATAGTACTACTTACCTTCTTTATATTTACATAATATACTTAATTATGTACATCATGTTTCTTAATTATTCAGAATAAAACGTATTTCAATGTTTGCTTAAATAATTTTTTAAGAATTTAAATTTTAAATATAAAACATAATACGGATTGATTTTATTACTTATACAATTAACCAAGAATTAAAAAATTGCCAACTATCTAATATTGCAATTTTATACAGTTAAATTTAGAATAATGTTATTATAAAATAAATGCATTTCAAAGAAAATTAAAAAATTAGCTATGTGAATTTTAAAAGAATGACCCATGCGCAACATAGCAAATTTACAATCACTAGAACTAACCTTGTGTAGTTAACTTGTATTAGAATGAATTGACATAATATCAAACTTAAAGTTATGAACATAATCTGTGTTCTTAAATCTTACATTTCCTTTTTTACAATATTTCAATGTTGATGCAAATAATGACCATTTTTATATTTTACATCTCATAACTAACTTAAAAATTAAAATATCTTTAAAAACCAACAATAGAACACGGATAATGTTCTTACCTTAAGTTTGATCATAGGTCATGACTCACTGTAATACTAAAGCTAATTACACAAAGTTGGTTCTGTTGAACACAGATTTGCTATGTTGCGCATGGGTCGAAGAAAAAAAAACAATTAGTGCACTGACACCTCTTAAGTATTAAAGAAACTATATATAGTATATTCAAATTTGAAATGCTAGATTATAAAACTATAGCTAAAACTACTTTTGTTTAATTTCGTAAAAAAATTTTAACAGAAATTAAAATCGTTGTACAATAATAAATTCTAAAATAGTTATTAATCAATAATTTAAACTGAATAATTAATTATTTTCTTTAAAATGATTTATTTATAATAAATACCACAAATTACATTTGTATTGTTTGCTTAACCCCCACTGACCCACAACCACACACACACATATGACATTTTTTTTGCTATTATTAATAGGTAATCTTAATTTTAATTCAAACATCTCATATTATAAGAAAAGATAGTTAAAATTATAAACAATATTGGATAACACCTACCTTCTGTTGTCCTTTAATTATTAACTATCACAATTATATTATATACATTTTTCTTTAGGTGTTTGTTTTATTAAGTCTTATCGCAGTGTCATTCTCTACATACAGTATGTGGTATCAAAACAGCGCTGTCACATCAATATCAATGTTTGGATTTTGGTTTTCTTTATTCATGTTGGTATTCTATATATTTCATGTAGTTGAGTGTTTTTATAAAATACCATGGCTTAAAATTGTAAGTATTGTTAAACTGAAAATGATTAATACTCAAATATATCTTAATAAGTTTCTAACAATTATTTTCAAACAATTTACTATGTTTTATAAGTTTTTTAATATGTGAATAATTTAAATTTAGGAGATGATTTTTGATGTTTGTTGGCCAATACTTTACCTTTTATCAGCATCCTCTGCAGCGGCTTATACTGGTTTGCATCTTAGCTACATGATAAGTTTGGTATGTAAATATAAGTTAACTATAATAATATAATAATATTGTTAAAATTTTTTACTTGAACTAGGTTTTTAATTTACTGTTATGACTTATATTAATTTACTATGTTCAAAATACCCGTTGATTAGATATGGAAATTTATATTTACAAATTGGCTCAAAAATATTTCATGCATCTCTTTTATAAAAAAATTAATATTAATTTCTCAATGTTAACATAGAATAAAATTATTTTTTAAACTATTACATTTATTAATTACTACTATACTTACTAAATAACAATTTACGTTTTTAATTAATTGTATTTGCTAAAACTAATATATTTAAAAAAAAAACTATCACAAAATAAATATATTACACCTTCAATAATTAAAATGTATCGTTGAAAATCGGATAGTATAGTTTTATTTGTATTTAAACGTTTTGGTTTTTAATAATTTCATAAATATTTGATTAATTTGATTATAAAGCTATATTTTCATGTTATTTTATATAAATTCTTATATTTTAATGCATTTTTAGACAGGTAAACTAATTAGTAAAATGTCTATAATTAAAACCCTTGGATGTTTTTCCCCTCCTGACAGACACGCCCTCCTCAGCAGATAAATGTAAAATATAATATGCAAGTAATAAATGAACTGTATAAGAAGTTATTATTACATTTTTAGTTACTAGTTATATTACTCAATTGTCTCATATCTATAAAATAATATGGAGGATGATAGTGGATATCCAATTCAATAATTACTTTTGAATCATCTACAAAAATTTGTCTTAATTTTGATGACATTTGAGATTAGTATTGTATTATGTATGTATTATCAATTCAAATAATATTTTTTTATATATTTTATTGCATACCAATTCACTCTGAAAATGTCAAGTTTTTATAAATCTATCTATATAGTTTTCTTCATTATTTATTCTTCTATTAAATATGTTATATTCAAACATAAATTATTGAGGAAAGATTTTATTTGTAAATTAAAATCCTAAAATAGTACTAATATATATTTTTGAACTAATATAGTTATTTGGATTTGCTGCAATGTTTGCGTATGGATATGATGCTTTATTGAAATATCAAGCAATACAACGTGGAGAAATTGCACAAGGAAATATAGCTGTTCATAAACAAACAACTACATCAACAGCATCATACTGATATACACATTAATTAAATAGTATTAATCCGTTTTCTGTTTACTAATATATACAGTTCATCACTATCTACCATATTTATTTAACTAATATTAATATATAATAATATTTTTTAATCAAACATCACAATCATTTTTGTTATACATTAATATAATATATTTTAATATTTTACTAACATATTTTTTTGATGACATTTTATAGCTATTTTTTAAAATTGTTATTCCTATGCCACGGCCGCTATAAAATATCATATAATTTTCCAAGAGCTGATTATTTGGTATATAAAAAAAAAACTATATATCATTGTTTTATAAAATAGTATAATTGATTATTATATTAACCTTAAGAAAAGTTTAAAATAATTACATTTTAATAATTTCACTTTTTATAATAACTCATAAAAATGCCTTATTGCAGACTCTTACAGTAAACAACTACTTAAGTCGTTTTATTTAAAATATTTAAATAATGTAGAATTACATTATAACTGTACAATTAAATCTATCAAAGTCTTACTTAATATAAATACATTTTATGCTGTTTACTTTAGTTAATCAATATAGTGAACACATGCAATTTTATGTTTTATTTAAATATATTCATTTAGATCAAATTAAATTGTATGCATAAACTATAAGTAATTTTAATAAAAAAAATACTTAAACTTTTTTATTAAAGTAATCATTTTCAATTTAAATAATAGCTATTGAAACCCCAATATTCTTATAGTATAATATCTAATTAATGTATAATAGTAAAATAAAATAAAAAAACTATATATCATTGTTTATATCTATTGATATTGTGTTTTATCTATTCATTTGATTACTTTATACCAAATTATCAGCTTTATTATTGATCTTTGTTATTTCTTAAACTTAGACGTTTTATTATTATTATTATTATATTTTAATTTGTTAAAAATTGTTTATATATTTTATTTTATTTGTTATTAAATCTTAATGAACTAATGATTTAAACTATTTCCAAAATGAAATCCTTTACAAAATATGAAAATCTTTGTTACTTATTCAAAAATCTGTATTAAGTTTTAAAATAAATATATTTTTTTGTATTTAATAGTTATGTATTGTAAATTATTATATTATATTTTTATCAAAAACGATGTTTTATTTTTTTTTAATTGGTCAATTTTATTTATTGTTTTATTATTACAATTATTTCACAAAATTTTCTTTTTATTTATCTGTGTTTTTTTTTTGCATATAACCAACTATTACCAAAGAATGTCTTAAAAAATAATTCTCTCCTAGTCATATTAAATTCAAGATGCATTAATGTTAAAATATTTTGTATAACAGTATAAGCAATGTATGTATTGTTTATAGTTATGTTTGTATTATAAAATAACTATGGGCTTACATAACTTCAAACTTACAGAATTATGATCTACATTCTACAGAGTCGTTAATCCAAGTGATCCAAGTTTTGTAATATGTGATATAAATTCTAAATGTTCAAATCTGGTAATTTTTTTTTTTTACTGTTGTAATAGAATGGTATTTAACAAATTTCAATATTTATTTATAGAAAATTGCTGATAAATATTACGTTTAAAATGTCATTGAACTAAGATATCTATATTTTTATAATTAATTATTTCTAAACTGTTTACCTAGTTATACATAAATGTATTACTTATCATAAATGTACAATTTTGTCAGTTTTATAATCTTTAAGTGCACTAAGTAATCAAAATCAGTAAAACGTTATCCGTCCAATAATATTATTCATTTAATATAGGTACAATATATTTAATTTAAATTGTATTACAATTTTATACATAATATGAGTTAAAACATTTTATTTTACTGTTATTGCCTTATTTAACTTTGTAACATTGTATGCAATTTAAAATATTATATTTAATGATTTATAATACATATGTATATATATTATATATATCTATATTATTAATACTTCATAAAGAAATGTTTTATCACTGTTGTGACTGTAAGTCAACTGTTATCTTATCATAAATAGTGCCCTGTTAAGCCGCACATGTTGCCTATTGCTCGACTAGAGAACAAAACTCAGGAAACTGGTACTTATTTGTCCACCAATTTTTGTTATAGGTTGAAAACTTATGAGGAACCTTGTATTAAATATTCAAACTTTTTGACTAAGTGAAACATTTTTAATGGACATTTGAAGAAAAAACCTAAGACAATTCGATCATTCTAAATTCTATAGGTAATAGCCAGAAATTGAGTCTAAATATTTTTTAAACTATATTAATTGAGTAGGTATAGATAATAATAAATTAAGGAACAGTGGATTAGTGGAATAATCCAAATCTCTACGATTTATACTTTTTGAACCGTTTGATGAGGTATTTTTATTTTATGAATTATGGGTGATTTCGTAAGTGGCTAGGTATCCTATTTCGTCCAAATTTCAACTTCAGACGCTCATAAAAAATATTTGTTGAATAATTGAATTTACTCTTGAAAAATCTTGTATGAAACCTCGACAGATCGTAATACATTTTCAAACCTTCAGTAAGAACTTTCAAATACAAAATACTTTAAACATGTTCACGATTTTTACTAATTTCCAGTTATAAATAAAGCAGAAATATTGTATTAGATATTAAAACCTTAAATGTTAAAATTAAAAACATGGCCATTTCTAGCAACGCATATTGTGAATGTTCATGTTTTTGATGAATTTCATGAAAATTATGACTTAAAACAGTTTTAAAAAAATATTGTGACTTCGTATTTTTGATAGTACGTTTTAGTTGGTAGATGAACAACTTTACCTACTTATCATTGTATTATATTTTTCAAAAATTAAAAATGCCTATAATTAATATAGGTACCACAAAAATAATAAAATATTTTGAAAATGTCATACCGACAACCGTTGTGGAATTTTGGTAGTTCTACTATAAATACAGATAGAGTCTTTTGTTACTCACAAAACAGTTTTTAGCTATATTGTACATTTTTAAGAAAGGGACAACATATGCGGGTAGCAGGGTTGTTGATATTTCGTTGTAATTCAAAATCAGATACATACAACATACCTATTCGTATACTTTCAATATGATTTACAATTTGATTCAAATCCAACATCCGTTACAAATTAAAATGAGATACTCATACTCGACAACTACTGTAACGCCTAATACTACTATAGCAAATTAAAATATACTTTAATAGTAATAGGTACCAAAATCCATTTCATTAAAATATATCCTTGATATAGGCTGACAGATTTCTCCACTCAAAATCAAATTTAAAAAGTAATATTTTTTTGATATATTAACTTGTGATCTTAAATTTATTGAAATTTAAGAATAAAAAAGTCGCTCTGCTGTACAGTAGGTTACAAGTGGGTCACTGAACAATGCCGTATTTAGGAATTTACAAAATATGGAAAAATCACGAAAATTAGCAAATTATTTTGAGTTAAGAATTCGTAAAAATTTTTCTTTTTAAATCTAAGATTTGAAAATGAAACACAAGATTCCTTATAAGATTATCTACCTTTATCAATAAAAAAATCTCTACCGGACAGTCAAGTTAAATTTTTATGAGCGTTTGAAATTCAAATTTTTACAACATTGGATATTCACTCGATTTCTCATGTAGCGATTTCTTTATTTTGTTGCAATTCAAAAACGAACAACTGAAGATACATGAAAATTTCACTGAATGTTTAAATTAGCATTTTCTATACACCATACAATTTTGAAAATATTTTGACCCTTTTTGAGCTGTTTAGGGACATTTTCAGTTTTCAATTTTTTAGTTTTTTTTTTTATAATTGTCAATAAAATTTTATTTAGTGGGCCAAAAAGTCTGAAAATTGAATACAAGCTTTCTTATATATTGTTACAATATCAGTTGAAAAATTTTAAAAATACATAAGCACGATTTTTTTTTATAAGCATTTAAAGTTGGAATTTTGACAAAATTTATCAAAATCTCGAAAATAATCAATCGTTGGAATTAAAAAATTATAAAATGTTCAATTTTTATAACTAAGAGTTGAAAATTTAAAACAAAGATTCTCTTAAATAATTCATACTGTAACCAAAAAATCTAAAAAATATATAAACACACTTATTTTTTACAGACATTTTAATTTCAAATTTGGACGAAATTACATATTAAAAAACCTAGAATAACTATTTTAGTTATTTTGTTGTGATTGAATAATATTATTCGTGGGTACTTGAAACTTCTAAAGTGTACTATTATATATCTATGATAGTATCACGGTTTTTGTTGATATACAACGCGTTATAAGTATCTAATGGATATTGTGATATGATTAATTTGGAATTTATTATAGGTACCTATTATAGGTCAATTTTTTGTTTAATACCATATATATGTATATAATATGTCTTATACTAGACTGACATACCGTCACCGCTCAGAATCGTTTTTCTTATACAATGATATTAGATCATTGAATTCAAATTTAATACCATCCATTATACAGTGACCCACTTGTAACCTACTGTACAGCAGAGCGACACCCACTTGCCCACCTTTTTTGGATGTTCAGTTCATCGATAACCTCATCTGGCATTATTGTTGTATTGACCGGTGACATGCCATTAAAGCCAATATATTAAGGAATAAGGGCCCCGTACTACAATAGGTTAAACCGCGGAATTCGGCCTGTAAAATCAGCGAGTTAAGTGTAACCGAGGTTTAAACTATGATTGTAAAACGAGCCCTAGTCGGTTAGGTTGGTTAGGTAAGGTTAGCCCTAATCTGTCTAATAAACAAAGTATATAATAATTAATACTTAATTTATAATTATTATTCAATATTAGATAGGAAAATTGATAAAATATTTACTTCTGTTATTGTATTTATCAATTATTTTAAGACTTCTTACCTAATAAAAACTTGAAAAACTTCGTTCAGATAGAGCAGTTGATACAGGGAAAGTACAAAATATTTTCAAGAGTTCATGATTATTTTTATAAACTCTTTATAGCAAATATTTAAAGCATGTAAACCAGAGGTGAATACAATTTTTTCAGTTAATAACACACAGGTACTAAGGCTTTCAGGTAGACATTTTTTTGTTGATAAAGGTAGACAAACTTATGAAAAATCTTGTATTGCATTTTAAAATCTTAGATTTAAAAACAAAAGTTTTTATGAATTTCGAGCTAAGAATAATTTGCAAGATTTTGTGTTTTTCCGTAATTTGTCAATATTTGGACTTCAAATGCTTATAACAAAAAACTGTGACTAAGGATTTTTAATATTTTTCAAACGTCATTGTTACAACATAATCGGAGCTTTTTATTACATTTTCAAGCTTTTTAACCTAACAAATAAAGTTGTATTGACATGCTTAGAAAAAAAACCTAAAAAAGTTCGAAACTTAGTATATCCGTAAACAGTTCAAAACAAGTCAAAATTGTTTGAAAATTTTTTCATGTATAGAAAAGTCTAATATAATATTTTAAATGGATGCAAGTCCCTTACAATATTTTACGTGCAAGCACGCTAATAATATAACACGAATACACGATGTCATAGGAATGACAAAATTACAAACTAAGATACAAAGTACAGTTATAAATTACAAATATAGACCAAGAGAACGTAGAAGGTACATAGTGTATATAACAAAGAAAGGTATAATATTTTATTCTAAATACTCTTAAAGTTTTAACTTTTGTCAACAGAATTCCTGTACTTAAAAGTTGTACAAAAATCCATTTGTGAACTGTAAGTTGCTAAACCAAGAAAGATCAAAATCTCGACCAAAAAAAAACTAAATATTGTACATTGTACAATGACAACAAAAAACCAAAATCGTTAATATTGATTTTAATATGTAATTTCGTCCAAATTTGAACTTAAAATGACTATAAAAATAAACTGTGCTTACGTATTTTTTAGATTTTTTGGTAACAGAATTAACTACTTACGTGGAATCTTGTTTTAAAATTTCAACTCTTAGATATAAAAGTTGAAGGTTTTATAAATTTTTAACTACAAAATAATTATTTAATTTTAAATTTGAAAAATTTGTAGGAAATGATAATATAAACATTCAGTGAAGTGTTCACGTATCTGCAGTTATTCATTTTTGAATTACAACAAAATAAGGAAATTGCTACACGAGAAATCGAGTAAATATCAAATATTGTAAAAATTTGAATTTCAAACGCTGATAGAAATTTAATTAGGCGTTCCAGTAGAGATTTTTTTATTGATAAAGGTAGACAAACTTATGAATAATCTTGTATTATATTTTAAGACCTTAGATTTAAAAAGAAAAATTTTTACGAATTCTTAACTCAAAATAATTTGCTAGTTTTCGTGATTTTTCCATATTTTGTCAACTTTCGAACTTAAAATGCTTATAAAAAAAAATTGTGTCTAAGGATTTTTAATATTTTTCTAATGCCATTGTAACAATATAGTAGGAGCCTTGTATTAATTTTTCAAGCATTTTTAACCAACAAATAAAATTTTATTGATATTTTTAGAAAAAAACTAAAAAATAATGGAAAATGAAAATGTGAATAAACAGTTCAAAATAAATCAAAACATTTTTAAAATGTGTCATTTGTTTAGGAGTTGCAGCAAAAACTAAAATCGATTTTTTCGAAAACAGATTTTAGTGTAAAAATTCCCGTTTTTCCTTAATTTTTATTTTGTTTTTTTGAAAACTACTAGGAAATTTTCACTTTTGACCCACCCAAAGTACCAATTAGATTCACTTTCCTATCAGAAAAGCTACTGTTGAAAAATTCCAAGTACTTTTACTGTCCTAAAATGTGATGACAGACACAAAAAAAAATAAAAAAGGTGCTCTGCTGAACAGTAGGTTACAAATGGGTCACTAAATAATGGATAGTATTAAATTTGAATTCCATGATATAATATCATTGTATAAGAAAAACGATTCTGAGATCCATCGTATTAAGAAAAATTTACCTAAAATAGGTACCTACCTATAATAAATACCAAATTCATCATATCACAATATCCATTAGGTACTTATAATACGTCAACAACAAACCCTGATACTATCACAGTCCATACTCCATACATATATAATACTATAATAGTGTACTATAGAAGTTTCAAGTATCCACGAATAATATACACAATCACAACAAAATAACTACAATAGTTATTCTAGGTTGATTTTTATGTAATTTTTTCCAAAGTTTAACTTAAAATGATTATTAAAATAAACTGTGCTTACGTATTTTTAAAATTTTTTGTAACAGAATTAACTACTTACGTGGAATCTTGTTTTAAATTTTCAATCCTTAGATATAGAAGTTGAACATTTTATACATTTTTAAATACAAAATAATTATTCAATTTTTATTTAAAACATTTTTTCAAAATTCGATCTTTAAATGCTTATAAAAAAAATTGTGAATATGTATTTTTAATATTTTTCAACTGATATTGTAACAATATATCAGGAGCCTTGTATTAAATTTTTACACTTTTTGGCCCAACAGATAAAACTTTATTGATATACAGTAGTCATTGTTTAATGGATTGTATTAAACTTGAATTCAATGATATAATATCATTGTATAAGAAAAACGATTCTGAACGGAGACGGTTTGTCAGTCTGTATATTTTATATTGTCATTAATTATTAGGTATAACATGTAAGTTGTTTTAATACTATAAACATGATATTTATATAGATAATACCTACCTATTTTTTTTTTTTATTCGTTGCTACGATAAACAAATTGTTAGAAATTAAAATCCCATTTTAAGCGGTTTTTCGTAATTTTCAGTACTTTTTCCCGTGGCATTAAATAACTATTGAGAAAATCGAAAAATGACCTCTCTAAAGTACCATCTTGGTCCAATTTGCTAAAAGATAAGGTACTATATGTTTAAATCAAAGCACTCCTTCTGGTAGAAATTTTGTATACAGGATATAAAAAAAAAAATAAACACCATTGTAAAACCACTAGCTTCCTTGCTCCGCTCAGAATCTAAAATTGGAAACTGAAAATGTCTGTTAACAGCTCAAAAAGAATCAAAATATTTTCAAAATTGTATGGTGGATAGGAAATGCTAATATAAACATTCAGTGAAATGTTCATGTATCTACAGTTATTCGTTTTTGAATTACAACAAAATAAGAAAATCGCTACATGAGAAATCGAGAGAATATCCAATGTTGTAAAAATTTGAATTTCAAACACTCATAAAAATTTAGTTTGACTTTCTTATGGACTTTTTTTTTTGATAAAGGTAGACAACCTTATAAGGAATCTTGTATTACATTTTCATATCGATTTAAAAAGAAAAATTTTTATGAATTCTTAACTCAAAATAATTTGATAATTTTCTTGATTTTTCCATATTTTGTCAATTTTTGAACCCTAAATGCTTATAAAAAAAAATTGTGAGTAAGGATTTTTAATATTTTTCATCTACTTTTGAAACAATATACTATCAGCCTTGTATTAAATTTTTAAGTATTATTACTCAACAAATAATTGCTCAATTAAATAAAACAATTTATAATTATAAATTACAACTTATAACACAATAATGAATATTATGTATTATACGTCATGTATTCATATTTATATTTTAATTTTTTCCGTGGGATTTTTTCAGTCTGCCGAGCAGTCGGTCAGTCAGGACAAGTTCTTTTATTTAAAATTATATAGGTTATTTATATTTATAATATACGACACAAGTCCGTCGTCCGTGATTTAGGCATTTTTATCAGTTTTATTCAGTTATTATAAGCACGGATAATACTTATAATCACAAACTGATAACAATAACATCATATGGAAATTAAATGAAATCAGATGAAAATGTTAAATTCTTATCGTTAGCCCTTTTGCGCTATTGCTGTTGCCACTTGCCAGTTTGCAGTTTGCACTTCATATGTCATATCATTACTTGTGTATTTTCGAAAATTGCGGATTAAATATTAGGGAAGACTAGATATATTAGAGTCTAAATTAGACACATTACACGACAATATTGTGGAACGATTGGTAGGTGAATATAATTATCGAAAATTAAATGACAAGGGCATGATTACTATAGTTATTACCTAATTTGTATTTATATAAACGATCATTAAGAATAATATACTATAATGATGATCTCAAGTTCTTAATTCAGTTAATCCCACAGCTATCTGCCTACTCGAACGTCATTGGTACGTAATTGTTTCACTAATCGCTATTGTTGTTAATTGCAAAAAAATCGTTTAACATTGTCTCAGTAGTCAGATGTTAATCAAACGTTTGTATTCAATTTTTAAAAATACATTTTCTGACATGGACAATCTTATTGCTGTTTGTCAAATTACATCGACTGCCAATAAAGAAAAAAACTTTCAAGCGTGCAAGGCACTAATTACTAATGCTCATAAATGTGGAGCTAAAGTAAGTATAGATAGTATGACATCATGTTTTACAATTATCTGAATAGGTAATTGCTATTAATTTGTTGTTCCCAGATGATTTTCCTACCAGAGTCATTTGATTACATTGAAGAAGATAAAGCTAAATCCTTAGAGATGGCTGAATCTTTAGATGGATCTCTTATCAATAATTATAAATCATTAGCTAAGTCGTTGGATATTTGGCTGTCTTTAGGTGGATTTCATGAAAAGGTAGTACTGACTTCATTTTATAAATTATAATAATTTTTGATTAATCAACAAAACAAGTAGACATTTATTTTTAATGCAGTTAATAATATGTTAAATCATAGACAATTCTGACAAGTGACAACCATGTTCATTAATAAAATTGTTATATTTAGTTGATTTATTTGTAGGTATTTGTATATTTGAATAAAAAAAACACTAATAAGTGGATGCTATTTTTGTAAAATATTAAAATATTAAAATATTAAGCTTATATAAGCATTTATATTATAAATAAATGTATTTGTAGGATTTGTAAATTAGACATACTTAATCAACATTATATAAGAGTTTAAACACATAGTTAATATTACATATACCTCATAACATAGCTCTACGTCTTCACAGTTGAACTATATTTCAAGAAGTAATAAAACCAAATTTCAGTATTAACTATTTTTTTTTACTGTGTTACTTTATCATAATATTAGGAAAATAGAACTGACAACAATTTTTCGAATTTTGTGATTATTTATTATTCTAGATAAAAACTTTTACAATTATGTAGTAAAAAAGTTTAAAAACTGAATCCAAAGTTCCTTATTAATTTCATTAATAGAAGCTTAAAAATGTACAAGATACATAGGTACAATTATTTTTTATATTCAGTTAAAGTTCAAATGTTGACATTTCAAACATTTTCAAATTAATTTTCAGTTAGAAATTCGTAAAAGTTTTTCTTTTCATAGCCAACTTTAGAAATTCTAATAGAACTTATTATTTCCCACAAATTTTTCTGGCATCTTTAAAGCGTGTGATCTACCGGGTCCGCCTTGATCCACTATTAATAGGTAACGCGTATAATATGGCTTTTGTAACTAAATACACAGTGATAATGTTCGATAACATTTTGAGAAATAAATATAATAATATCTTATTTCATAGCTTACAGGTCACTACATCTATCGTCTGTGAATTTATGTGTTTACCAATAACCGAGTCGTGTGTGCGCAAGTACGTAGGTAATGTGTTGTAAAAATGTTAGCATCGGATTTTCATAAAATTATTACCTAATTCTGAAAACTCTAGTGTAGAAACTAACATGCAAACAATAGAATGTTTGTGGTCAATATTAAAATTTAAAATTTAAATATTAAGAAAAATGCATGGGACTTATGAAAATATATTACCACGCCATTTAGTTGAATGTGTTTATAAAAAAAAAAAAACACACAATTTGAATAAAGAATCGAAATAATATATACATTATTTATTCATACATTTTTTGGAAGGTATAAAAAAATTTTATGTTTTATAAAATGTAATATTGTAACAGTTATCATATTTTGAACATAATTTATGTATTTTGACTAATACAAATTGTATCATTTGTTTTGTAGACACAAAAAACTTGAAAAAATGTATTAAATATAGTTATTTTTTAATCGAATCACATTACATAATATTACATATTTATTTTTATTTAACCAGTTATTTACTGTTTTCTCGGTAGATCACCCAAATACACAATAAACCTTTAAATGCCCGGTAGATCACACGCTTCACCAATGCCATTTTTCTACCTTTAACAAAAACAACAAGTTTACTGGAAATTAACATACATTTTTTATGAGCACTTGAACTTATAATTTTTACGATATTTGATATTCAGCGGTAAATTATAGACTTCCCGTTAATAGATTTTCAATATCTTGTTGTCTTTCCAAAACAAATAACCGTAGACTCTTAAAATGTTCACCAAATATTTACATTAGCATTTTAGTAGCCATTTATATACAAACATTACTGTCCTGCTCAGCTTTGTCCATGCCAAAGATTTGTTTTTTTTTTTTTTATAAATATATTTGTAAAAAATAGATATATTATATATATATGTATCTACTAATTGTAATAGTAATATAATATGTACCTTGCACCTAACCAAAATATAATAGAAGATAGAACCCCTATAAATAAACAAAAATAATATTTTATACATTATAAATAAAATAATATATGGAAGGCTCACAACTATATGTAGACATTAATTCCTCCTTGGAATTTTTTCCCACTTAAACCCCGCAGAGATCCAACATCGTGTGTTTTACTTATTAGTTAAATTAGTTTCTATTTTCATAATTAAATTATTAATTTATATTAATAATATATTAAATTATTTTAAAGTTTTCAGAAACTAAATTAAGGAACACACATTTGGTTATCAACAATAAAGGAGAAATAGCTGAAACATATCATAAAATACATTTATATGATGTACAGATACCTTCAAAAAACATCCAAGCCTTCGAATCAAATTTAGTTGAATCTGGTACTGAAATCTCACCACCAGTTAAAACTCCAATTGGGAATATTGGTTTAGCAATTGTATCCTTTTCTTTATCTAATAGTTAAGTTAGAATAAATTATTCCCCTTAAGGGGGCTGAAGCGTAATCCATTCTAAGGAGTAAAAATTAGGCATTTTATATTTTATGGGTCTTGTGAATGTGTTGAAAGTAAATGAACATTAGTGTGTGTAATTTGTTGTACCTATCACGATGTATAGGGACATCATAATAATATGTCTGTCATTTTACCTATGCGCATGCACATGTCACCAATTATTACATTATAAAATTACAAATATTTTTTTCCAAAAATACTGCCAGTGACTTCAATCACTGCGCTCAGTAGGATGTTCTGATTTAAATTTTGAAAACAGATTTGAATTCTCCTCTAAATGTACTATTCTTTGACTGTCGTACATTTTTCAAATTTTTTATCAATGTATTTCAATTTTAATTATAAATATAATCTATTTTTACCCTTTTTGTTAGTAAATTTCTGCGTAAAAAAATATAATAATAAGAAAAATGAAATCGTCAAAGCATAGATATTTTAGTGACAAATTCAAATCTGCTTTCAAAATTAATATCAGAACATTATATTGGGCTTAGTGATTGAAGTCGTGAGCTACGTTTTCAACCAAAATTGAATCACGCTCCAGCCCTCTTAATATATGAAATAAAGTTATAAGTTATAACATTTATTTCAGCTGAACAATTTTTAAAGTGTACAATAAAAAAAAATGGTAATGTACACAATTATTTCATATAAATATTCATTAAGTTAAATTAGTATTTGCATAACATATGAATTGTCAGATAACACCATTATTGCATCTGTAGAAAAATTTTCCACTAAAATATATCTTTTTTTTTAATATGTTAACAACTATAATATATTGTTTCATTAAAATAATAATTGCTTTGCAATAGAATACCATACTAAAACTGCTTTGGTCTACTTAATATTAAAATTAAAAATCAGGTTTTTTTAAAAGATTTAAAATAGTTGTATAAATAGTTCTTACTTATTTATGCATGTAAAAATATTTCTTTATACAAAAGTTCAGTGTTATGATATGAGATTTTCTCAGATGGCTATAGCATTAGCCGAGAATGGAGCAGATATTTTAACGTATCCATCAGCATTTTTCTTCGGAACAGGTGCTTATCATTGGGAAATATTATTGCGAGCCAGAGCCATTGAAACTCAATGTTATGTAATTGCTGCTGCACAAACCGGCAATCATAGCTCAGCTAGAAAATCTTGGGGTCACTCACTGGTTTGTTTGATTACTATTTAACTTGTAAATAGTTTTATATTAAACATTGTGTAGGTAGTTGATCCACTAGGAACAGTAATAGCACAATGTTCTGAAGAACCGGGTTTTGTTTTGGCACCAATTGATTTATCATTAATTAAAAGTATTCGTCAGTCAATGCCTCTGGAATGCCATAGACGATACGATATTTACCCAAAAATGATTTCAAGTACCTTATGTAGGACTAAGTCTATTGAAGATTTTAATGAATTTAAATTTGGATCATCAATAGTTAAAGGTTTACAAGTATTTTACAAAACAGAATTATCCTTAGCATTTACCAATATTAAATGTGTCTTACCAGGACGTATCCTTTTTGAATGTATTGAATCTATAATAATTTTAATTTTTTTTTCCATGTAATATTTTCATTAAGTATCAATAACTAGATGTTTTAGTTGCTCCTCTTAGAGCTGTGGAAAAATTGACTGACTTATCTAATTACGAAGTTGAGGATCTATTCCTTGCAGTTAAAAAGGTTCAAAAAACCATTGAACAAGTACAAAACACTAATTCATCATCTATTGTTATTCAAGACGGTCCACATGCTGGACAAACCATTAAAGTATGTACTATTAATTTTATTTTAATATATTAGATACTGTGGTTAAATTCTTCGGTATGTCAACATTTCTTGGTTTCTAGTATCAGATACAAAGTTGAAAGTTCTATAAGAAATTGAGGATTTTAATTTTTATTATCAGATCTGCAAGAATTAATATTATGAACAAAAACTGATTTTCTAAAATATATATACTTAGTAGTTCATCCTAAATGGTACTATTTTATTTTTATATCGAAATTAGTTACTCTCATTATTTATTTGATTAATGATTTCTTTTAAAATTAACTTTATGCTTCAAAGTGTACATTTAATTTGTACATACAATTAATTATTATAATACAAATGAATAAAAATATTTAAAAACAAGAGAAGACTTGAAACAAATACGATTCATTTTGCTCCTAAAGGTATTTACTGTTAAATATTTATTAGATAATAATTATATTAATTAAAAGGGTTAGTTTTTTATCAAAATCAAAAAAGAAAAGTAGTATAAAAATATTTTTAGTACTAAACTGTTTAGGTAGGTACTAAACTATGAAAATGTGACTTTAAGTACAAAAGTATTAATTTAATTTGAATGTTATACACAATGACACGGTCATCAAACATTTTAATATTTTATTCATGTTTATTGTTAATATTATTAGCACGTTCATGTTCATATTATTCCAAGAAAGTCTGGAGATTTTTTGGTGAATGATGATATATACAGAAAATTACAAAATGAAAAATACTGCACTGATCCAATGAGAAGCTATGATGAGATGGCACAAGAAGCTAAATTATTAAGATCGTTATTTTAATAACTTAGTTTTAAAAAGTATTGCTATTAGTTGTTTAAATTAAATTGTTGCCTTTTACCAATAATTATAATACAAATATAAACTATATCACTATAAATTAAAATTCATGTTTTTTTTCTCACTTTATTCTTAAACTATTAGGTAATGTATAATATAATTGAGTATCATGTAGTGAATACAACAAAAATGGACATAACAAATTTTCTTCAAATAAAAAAAAAGTTCCGTTTTCCACTAAAAAATAAAATTATTATCAACTCTTAGAAATATGAAAACATTGAACTCAGTTTCTTCCATAAAACAAGTTTTGGCTATTATATTTTATTAAATTAAAATTTTTTGGCAGGGTGATACAATAATATTATTATACTTATGATTGGCTATAAAACACTTTAAAAAAAATACTTTAATTTAATATTTGGTATGTATCAACATATAACATTAATTTAAAATATTACAACACAATGATTTTTCAGAAGAAAATTGAGTTTAATGTTTTTATTTGTACATAGGTTATTAGGAAACTTTATTCTTTTGAGGAAAAATTCTTTTTTTATGTATGAAGGAAATATGACTGGCCCACAAAATATTAAGTGTTAGGAAGTTAATTTTAAATGGTAACTGTGAAGAATTAATACAAAATAGTGTATACACAAATAAATAATATGTTTTTGATAGAACAAGGATGTAATATATAATTAATACAAATTGGTTTTCTTCATAATTTGAAGAAATTCTTCTTGACTGACTTCACCATCACCGTCTTTATCTGCTTCGTCTATCATTTCCTACAATAGTCATATCACAATCAAAAATAAATCAAATTAGTTTTATATAGTTGTATGTAATTATATAAATCATGGGTTTTATTTTTAGTAGGTCAATAATAATTTACTTTGATTTTTTTTTAATTCTATTTATTACATTTTATTAAAACAAGAGTAATCCATAATATATCAATTATGAATTCCTACCTATCTAAATAATTTAAATATTTTTATTTTCACTGATACTGAGCAGTAGTTTCTAATAAACTAGTAATAAAACAAAGTCTGATTGTACTCAATTTTTAAATGTTAAGTTAACCATTTTAAGATAATACCATAATTACCAGATAATAAATCATCTTTGCTATACCACAATATTTACTAACTAAATTATTCTTATTTATTTATAGGTATATTATAGTATTTTTTCTTTTAGTTATTTATAAAATGATTTTCATTTTTATAAAGCCCTTGTGGTTGTAACAGTATAGACCAGAGATTCCCAAACTGTGGGCCACAAACCAAATGAGGTTTGTGATTATATTGTTGATGGATCACATTAAGTTTTAAATATTTTTATATTTTGTCATAATATAAAATATTTAATATTAAATTACTATAAAATATATGAATATAAAAATGAAAAGATATATAATAATATGATGTATATAAAGACTATAAATTCAAACAAATATGATACAGTATTTTCTGAGTAACTATATTCTATATTGATATTCAAATTTTGTTTTATCGTTGATAATAATTATCCGCCACAATTAGAAGTGTACTAGTGACGTGTGACCACAATGCTTTCAAACTAATAGTTATCACAAAGATAGAGATCAACAATGACAAAAAAAACCGGCCAAGTGCGAGTCCGACTCGAGCACGAAGGATTCCGTACCATCATCAGCTATGTTGGCAACACTGCTTATATTATATATTGTAGGATTTTTAGTATTGAGGAGAAGTAATGCTAAAGCGGTTCCTCTTCCGTCCCTCGATTAACTCGAAAAAAAAAGAAAGGATTTTTAGTATTTGTTGTTATAGCATCCATGGAAATACATAATCTGGGAAAATTTCAACTTTCTAACTTTCATAGTCCATGAGATACAGCCTGGTGACAGACGGACGGACAGCGGAGCCTTAGTAATAGGCTTCCGTTTTACCGTACGGAACCTTAAAAAGGTGACTAGTATGTTGTGGATTTCCAAAATTTAAACAAAATGGGTTGTACTGTGAAAACTTTAGGAATCTCTGGCATAAATTGTTGCATCCTTGGGGTTTTCTTTTTACTTCTGCTCAGTGGGGGAGGGGGCAATTTCTCTTTGAACACCTGCCTACAAAGAAAGACTGCCCATTATGAGTTATTCCACTCGGCCACTACATCCCCTCGACTATAAAACTAAAATATGTAAATTATAAATAGTTAATAATACATTTATATTTAAAATAATTTATATTAACCTGAAGTTCTTCATCGGCAATATTCTCGCCTAATTCTTGGGCAATACGTTTTAAATTGGAGAATGTTATTTTTCCTGTACAGTTATCATCAAACAGTTTAAATGCTTTAATAATTTCTTCTCTTGAATCTTTATCTGCCATTTTTATGGACATCAAAGTAACAAAATCATCATATGTTATGACGCCTACATAAAATATAAAATATTGATTATTGTTATTTTAAATTTATCACAACTACTTTAAAGTAACTAGGTAGGTATAACCTAAATTTTGATCATTAAAAATATAACTTACCAGTGTGCTGTTTATTAATGTTAAGCAACATACGTTTGATTTCTTCTTTTTTTGGTTCAAATCCTAAGGCCCTCATGGCTACCTAAAATTTTAATAAAGTTAATCATATAAGTAATATCATTTTAAACTAAAAATAATTTCTAACCCACATTTCTACCATACTACTATACTATTTCAACTCACTGATATCACACAGTGACCATAATTAATTATAAAACTGAAAAGATGGCCTCAAGCTCAATTATTTTAATCAATAGATGCATCTAAATTCTAAATACCTTTAGCTCTTTGGTTTCGATTGACCCAGATCCATCTACGTTAAACAATTCAAACGCTTCTCTTATATCAGCCATCTGTTTTTCACTGAACTCAAATTTGTTGCCTCCAGACTTTTTCCGGTTTGTCGCTGGCATATTTACACCGACTTATTGTGTTGGCAATAAGAACAATCTAAACAAAAATATAAATCATGTTTAAGCGTGTGTTTAAAGAACCGTACACTTGACGTCTCAGTTGTCCTGCTGCTAAATTTTCAGAAAACGTGTTTATAAATGAATGTCAAATCCAGTGTACCAAGTAGGTAAGTGCAATACTGTGTGTACTATTAATAATAATTTGTATTCGCTAAGGTAAACACTGAAAATTCAGTGGGATTTGCAAAAGAAATAATGAGAACGACGAGGGGACTATCGTTTGAGGAGTACAAATCCGACAAGAAAATGGTTAGTGCATGGGTACAAAGTTCTGTAAGGTTGGTGAGGGGGTAAGAAATCAGATTTGAGTAAAAACAAGTGACAACTCATTATATCCGCGTTCTTTATGTCCATTGCAGTTTTGTTACTTTTAGTATCTCATAACAACTCCAAAACGAAAACAGAAAAATAACATTTTCCGTGTCTGAAATCAGTGGAACGTAAATTGTGTGAACGAGTTTATAGCGTACTGTCGTCATAATATTTAAAAACAACCATGACGGTCGTGCACACCAACCTTAAGACGGAGCGACGGTCGTCGAATCGATGGCGAACGCCAATGGGCACAGAATATTATCACGGGCAAAAAGCAAGAGACGTCATGCACGGCTCTCTTTCCAGTTATCGACGAAAACGACCATCAGTGGAATACTGGAATACTATAGATCGATGACGAGTGATGGGACTGAACTACGGCGCAGCTGCTAGTGGCGCGGTTATCAATATCACACAACTATTTGGAAGACGACTTATTTTTTTTAGTTGTGTAAACAAATTGTTCGCGGCTAACCGTATCTAGGCAACGCGACGTCAAGGAAAACATAAACAAATACGAAAACCATGACGAAATGAGAGGACGTAACAGAGGGCCCTATGCCCCCAACCCTGACAAATAACAATCATTTCGTTTCGGTAATCGATTTTATACATACGGGCGGCGGTGAGAGCCGGAATGGTAGAGGATGAGGAAACTTTTTTGTTTTATTCTTTCGTTACTCACATTACCATATTCGCTCAGAGTAGGAGTGGTCTAGTCTCAGAGAAATAGTAAATAGCAATGTGGATTTATAAATATTTATTTTATTATATTTATTATAATCATAAATCCACCTTGATATTATGATTTTGCCTCTACTAGAATGAGAGGCAAGATAAAAACAGTCTTGCTCTCTTCCCCATTACTTTTCACTATCTGTTCTTTAATATCTATAGATATCATGCTTACATTGTGCTGAACAATAATAATATTATGTAATGATATCGTTATCTGTGTAAGGCGGCTCATTGATAACGGTGGCGCACTTGTTTAGAGCGGCTCTCTCGCTACGAACGACGGTCGAAGCGAGATCAATACGCGATGACCGGTGCCGATCTCTGAATTCTGACAATCGCAGTTACACTTGCACAGCATTGCATCTACCGCCGACGTGACATACCTTCATAGGGTTCCCTATAGTCGATTCGTCGACATCTTGTTAGGCCTTCGCATCGGCACGGAGTCTTTGAGCACAGGCGCAATCATGAGTAAACAGTCGGATCAGCTCACCGACGTCTTCATATCGGACGAGGTACTATTGATGTGCCATAACTTGGCGCTGCTCACGGAAAAGGAAGAGGTTGCCGCTCTACTCATCGGCCAGGTAAGCGAGCTGATGCCAGTTTTTGCCATTACCCGCCACAAACGCGTCCACACAATCATGATCGATGTTGGTTTTTTTTTATAGAAAATAATACACGAGAACGGGACCACTGTATCTGTGACTGCGCTATCGATACCGCCCCGGGGAGAGATCAAGAAGGATCGCGTGGAAATCATGTCTGAAGACTTGGTAAACGCTATGGAAGATGCCAAACACTTCTCCCGGGTCAAAGGCGCTAACTTGAATGTTATTGGCTGGTATCATTCACATCCTCACATCACTGTGTGGCCATCTAATGTCGGTGAGTACCTATTAAATAATTGTAATTTATGTTTCTTATTTGTATAGGTATACCTAATATTGGAAAACTTTTGAAATCACTTCATCAATGCTGATGGTTCATACTATGTTAATTAATTCAATTTCATATTAAGCTTGTATTTATGTAGGTATCTAATAAGTCAGCGTATCGAAAAGGTTGTTGGTAGTTGATTTTTTTTTTTACCTATATCATACTAACAACATTTTAATAACCATCATACAATTGAGTCAATGTTGGGTCGCTATCAATAGGTTGGGAAACACTAAGGTATTTATTTAGAGTTAAAATCCATTATTAATTGTTTAAACATTTTAAGTTAACTTGTTTGGATTCAAAGATTTTACAATGTGTATAGATTTTGCTTGTGCTTAGTAAATAGTAGAATAAGTCAAAAATTAATTCACTAAATAACCTCCATTTTAATTTATATAGAAGAGATATACTTGACAAATAATCAAATCACTATAAACCACAATTTATTCCCTAACATTTCATGTACGACATTGCAAATTTGCATTTAGCAGAATCAATCCTGTGTTGTTAGCATTAATATAAAAATGAATTAACACCACTACTACTAAGCATATTATCCGTGTTTGTACGTTGGATTTTTTAAAATATTTCAATATTTTTAGATATATATTATGATCTTCTTTAAATAATTGTAATTTTTTACATATTATTCATAACTTGCTCACAAATTGAATTGTTGTACAAAATGTAATATCTATATTCATTGAAAAAAATAGAACATGTTACTGGACTATGTAAAAGGACTTAAAATTTCAGATACATAATAAATTATGTTTTTATTAAATTGACTACTAAGTTTTATCAGATTTATTACATTTGATGTAATAAATAGTAATTTGTGTTCTAATACATTATCATGAATGTATAAAAAATATTAATACACTAATTACAATGACATATTATTAATTTTGAAAAATAACACATATAATTTTGATTTTTATAATTTTTCAGATTTGCAAACTCAACTGAACTTACAAAACATGGATTCATGTTTTATTGGTATAATTTGTTCCTCGTATAATACAGATACTACAACAATGGTAAGAAAACAAAAAACAGAAGTACTTACTAGCATGAAAGTCATTTTTTTTTTTCAAATTTTCCTGGCAAATTGAGCACAGGAAAAAATAACAACAATGTGGAAAATTAAATAGTGATTGTAAATCACAGTGCTAGAAATTCAAAAATTTGCTTAAACCAAACAACAAATTTTAACACTGTCTATCAGTCAATTATGATTATTATTTAATAATTGAAATAGAATTTATTAGTTCATATCAGTTCATTTTTCTTTGAAAATGTTGGTCTAAAAACGTTTTTTTCTTTAATTTAAGCTACAAAAATAATTCATTATTATTTATTTGTTCAATTATATTTTGTCAAAGTATCATAATTTTTTCTTTATAAATTTAGTAATAACATGCGTATTCAACTAGAATTTTCGGAATATTTTTATGACATATTAACTCAATGTATTAAAAAGTGTGTAGTAGTGAATAATATTAATGTTTTATTTTAAGCTAGATATTATAAGGTTTCTTTATTTTCATAAGATCTTAAAATACCTTTATGTTGTAAATTAATAATTTGTAACGTAGTAAGAAATATTTATAGTAATATTGTATTGTTCTAGATGAAAGAAATGAAAACAGTATGCTTTCAAGCTAAACAAATAAGTGGTACAGTGCACAGAATAGATGTTAAATTTCAGGTTTCACCTACAACCTGTACCAGCCAATTGTCATTTGGAGTAATTATTTTTTTATAATCTTATATTTAATCAAATACTTCTATACATGATTATATAATAATTATATAATTCCAAGGTCTGTTACTTGGTATAAACATAACTAATTTCTTTATAAATTTATATATAAATACATAAATAAACGATACATATCGTTGGGGGTAGTTTGATCCCTCTTTCTCTTGTATATTGTCTAAATTATTTTTAATTATTTCTATTGCTTTATAGCTTTATATTTATTGCTTTAAATTGTTTTAGTTGTTGATCTATAAATTTGAAATTTTTACTATTACATTAAATAAATAAATATATATAATAATTAACATTTAAATTTTATAAATGTATACAAAATAATGTGAGAATTTTTTACCTTTGCAATAACTAATAAAAAAAAATTCTTAAATCTACTTGCAAGTGATTTTAATATTAAACTTACAACCTATTTATTTAGTGATTCAATGTTGTTTTTTACATAAATAACTGTTAAGCACTTGGTGTAAAATTAAAAGTAATTGAAAAGTTTGGACAATAATACATTTTTTAGTTAAACAAATTAAAATTATATTACAAAATTCTGAAATCAGAATTGTCAATAATTTAAATTGTTGCTTAAGAAATATTTACAACAAGAAACCTATCTAGAATTTGGTTGTATATAAAGACTTAAAAAATTTAATATAAAAATTATTTTTATATAAATATGATCAAAAACGTATTTGTAAATATAGCTAATTCATTTTTATACCATTAGGTAATTGTAAAGCACATAGAAACATTGTATGACGAACTCATAAAAAATTATAATGAAGCAAATGAAGGTGATATAAGTCCAATGGCTCAACTTCATAATGATTCAGGTAAATTTCATTACGAAAAGAATTAATTAAGAAAATGATTCTTTCTAAACCATCATTATTGTGTTATGAAATTGATCATTTATGTATTACATTTCCACAATTTCATAAATCACTAAATTAAAAAAAAACACTTTCTATACTGTTTTTTATTCTTGTCCATATAATTTATTATAATATATCACTCAAATTCGTTAGGCTTTATTTTTGTTCACCCAAGTATAAATTATACTACAATTTCTATACATTTATTTAATAAGTCATAGTCTAAAGTACTTTTACTTTTATAAATTTTATAGTGAAACTATATAATTTATATAAATAAGCACCCTTCTACTACTCATTTCAACACCATATTAGAAAGCTGTTTTCTTATCATACTTCCGTAATTAAGTTCAATAAATAAATAGAAATGTTTTAATAATAATTTGGTTTCTAGTATACACATTGTCTGGAATACATATGCTAGAAACAGTGGCTAAACCTATGCTGCAAATGTTAGAAACGCAACGTGAAAGTTCGACTAAAAGAATTCAAAGTCTTCAAACCAAACTAGAACAGTTATCATTGGGCATTAATGATGAGCATTATTGTGACGGTACAAACAAAACTTACCATGATCAAGAAAATAGTGATAATTCCGACGACAGCTTTAACATATCAGTACCAACAATTAATCAACCCAAAGAAACGAAGAAAGGGAACAAGTCCAGCATGGTATCCTCTCCAGTTTAAATTCATAAACAATAAGCACCTTCAGCAGAATCATACTTAATGAATTTAATAACTATTTTATTTTATCATTACCAGTCATTTTTTTTTAAATATATTTATTGTACATAAAGTAGGTATTGTTTGAATGTTTTTTTTTACCAATAGTCTTGATACTATACCTTTGATTGGTCAGTCTTAAGAAAAAGTATATTCATTTGAGTGTGGGCCGAGAATACATTTTGTAGATGGTAAACATTTTGATTTTCATAATAGCATTGAGTATATATTGTATATGTACTATAAAAATGTCCTATACTCCCGGGGAGGTGGCTAGTAGATTTGTCGAGGAGGCAAAAACAGTGTAGTAATTCTACCTTTTAATAACTATTGTACACAATCTCTAGTGTCAAATTAATCATTATAATATTTACCTTTATTCTAGAATGTACAATATAGCAGTAAAATTAAAATTACATTATTATTATTATTATTATTGTGTCAAACAATAAAATACGAGTAATAACATAATATTAATTAATTTCACGTATTAAAAAAATAAAATAATATTGTTAGTGACTGGTAGCGTGTTCTGTTGTCAGATTCAATGAACTAATATTAAGCATACCATAAAATATCAAACATTATTTCTCTATACAATATACTCAATGATAATAGACATTTTATCGACTTAAATTTGTAGAGATAAAGTATATTTTGTTCTCTGACATTTTAAATGTAAGAAAGTTCCAAGAATGCTATGAATAAGCATATTTTTTTAATGTATAAATCAATATTATCAGGGTTATTAATTAAATTTGCTTTAAATATAAATATTATGTTTGAATAGTTTTAAACGCAATACACTTTACCTCCTTTAAAGTTATAACCCGGTGGAGACATGCAATAAACATTAGCTTAAAAAATATTTATCAAAGTAGATTAAAAATGGATTGTGCTGTGATGATATGTAGGTAGGTACTCACAGTACTGGAACAAAAAACAATGAATCATCCACATATTACACATCTGATTTTTTTTTAAACTATCACTCAACAATTGTATGTAATAAGATTGAATGGAATTTAGGAATTTTTGAGTTGTCTATTACTTTTGACATTATATTATTTGACTGTTCATGTATTTGATTTTGTTAAGGATTCAAATCTATATGTAGATGAGAAATGTTTATATTTGCACTTCTGATTTATATAACTGACTAAATAACCATGTTGGTAAACAATTCGATGATTGATATCGATAATTTAAAGTGTTTAAGAGTTCTATAACAAATATATTATAATATATCATCAAGAGTTCTAGTAAAATATTTTATATTTTCAATACTTCAAGTTTTGTTTTCATTGAAAACTTGTATTATTATCAATGAATTTAAAATGTATTAATAATCACATAAACTTTAATATTCATTTACATAAATAAATGTTATTACATATTTTATCTTATTTTATTCAATATGACATTTAGTTAGGTAATCTTTAAAAATGTAACTATTTTTTCAGTGCCTTAGTACTTAGAATTATAATGTCCTAATTTAAAATAGGATCAAGTTATATATATTTATTATTTAGTTATTTATATCAGATAAATTAATTGAGATATCTAGAAACAACATTGAACATTAATAGGACGTGGATGATCCTACTATGTTGGTTCCGTACATACGTAATACTACTTAACATAGTAAATTTCACGCACAGCAGATCACGAAGCTCAGCTCTATTAGTTTAAAATTCAGAGTGAATTGTCTTCTTAAAAAATATAAAGGTAAGACTTTTATCTATGCAATGGCATAGACTTTTTATTATATTTTAATTTTAAAGCAAGTGATGAGTATTTTAAGATTTAGAAACAATTTACAATTTTAAAATAGTCAAAACTCGATAATTTTTAAACTAACAGGGCTAAACGTAATTTGTTTAAGGGAATTGGAAGCGGCGATTTTCTGTCTTTGTCTAACACACGTGCAACATAGGATTATAGACGTGTTCTATTTCCAACGTACCGATTAATCTAGTGAAGCGATAAGAATTCTGAAAACAGATTTGAATTTGTCGTCAAGTCTACTTGAGATCGACTTTCCCACATTTTTGATATTTTGATTAAAACTTCTCCAAAAATTGAAATATGGCAATTTTTTAATTACTCTTTTTAATATATCATTTTTATGATTTTTGGGGGATAATATCAAAAATGTGGGAAAGTCGATCTCAAGTACACTTGACGACAAATTCAAATCTGTTTTCAGAGTTCTTATCGCTTCACTAAATTAATCGGTACTCTGGAAATAGAACACGTCTATAATCCTATGTTGCACGTGTGTTAGACAAAGACAGAAAATCGCCGCTTCCAATCCCCTTAACGTAAAATGTTCTACGTTAGTATGTTACTCGCTTGTAAAATGGAGATAACACAATATGTGGATACCACGTAGTAAGGCGCTCTCATCTAATTACTTGTCCTGATTCATCATCGCCTAACCGGAACCACTGGACGGATCTGGCTGAAATTTGGCATAGAGATAGCTTAGGCGTCCGCTAAGAAAGGATTTTTGGAAATTTAATCCCTAAAGGGGAAAATAAGGGATTGTAAGAATATAACAGTGGCGCCATCTATCAAGCAATATCTTATTAAATATACAACATTGGTTTTAAAATAGAAAACGTACGAAATTGATATTTGGAATACTTAGTTGTTTCACTAATGATCTGATATTTTCTAATATTCGCTTTTTAAAGAGGTGGTAAAACAGGGGTAGAAATCGAATACTGTTTTTATTTTTTAATGGTTGCCTTTGGTTCCAGGTTATATATGCGATTTATTTCCCAAAGCTACGTACAATTACGCCAGTTTAATAAAATAAAATAACACCCAAAAATATATTAATATATAAATATTAAATACTCCTAAAAATCCGTGATGACCAACAATGACTTCTTTACTATTTTAGGTACACTTTATACATTTTTTTTTCGACTACAAAGCTGTACTAGTATTGGGGAAACAAATTAACAAAACGCGCTCTGGTGGAAACAATTTGTACCTTCCAATTCGGGATGTATAGATATAGTTTTATGTTGGTTATTTTACTTTTTATAATAATTTAATATTGCTATGGAAACTTTATACGCTTTTATAGCTAACTGTATATGTTGGTAAATATAATTTCTACTAATATTATCAAATACGTTCAAATTCACTTCACTTCACTTCACTTAAAGCAAAATGTATTCGAAATGCCGCGAAAACCCGACTCGAGTCCCGACTGCATGTAGGGGGGAACCCCGCCCAACCATCAGTACGATAGGCGTCGACAGAGCTCCCAGTGTTAATTTGTTTTCCCAATAGGTTTAATATCTAGCTACTGTTCGCATAACCATAAGCGAAATTCACGGGCAATGAAATGGCTAAAAATTAGAATATAATATGATTTTGCTTCCATACCTATGCACAGCGAATTACACCCGAAATTAGTTAATTAATCACAATTTTGTCCGGAGCTAGTCAGACATATAATAATTTCTTGAAACCGTCTGAAATAAATGAACGTCTGGTTGCCTAACCGACTCACAGCAGGTGTTTTTCAATCTTTTGCAGACAAAATTATTACAAGTTCACAAAATGTAATGGTGCTTTAAAATTAGCATTCATCATATAGTTTTGCTTTTTGTGTTGGTAATTAATTTACGAAGAAGATTCTATCAACTACTTAATATTTATCATTCATTTATACATTTGTCTTTTGTGACATAATTGTAATAATATAAATATTTAGTACCTACCTAATACATTTATATATTTTGTAAAGAACCAAGACATATTTTATATGATAACTGACGAGTATATAAATATAAGAAGCAAAATGTATTGTCATCGGGAATTAAAATATACCATATGTCTATTGTCTACATACCATTATTGGGACTTATATAAATATTATATTTATTAGAAAATAAATACAAAAATTCAAATTGTGTAATTGTATATAATATTACTAAGCAGTAAGGCAAAAACGACTTCAAAATGTATATATGTAAATACAAATAGACATCAGACCTGTTGTAAATTACTTGAAAGTAGCATTGAATATCATAATTATTCTTTGGTATAATTTGTTCAATGATTATAGTAGAGTATTATATTTATATTATTTTGTAAAATATTGATTATAATCTTATGGCTCTTACAAATAGGTTCCCCTATCTACTTATCTTTTCAAAATATTTAAAATGTCTTGGTAATAATAAACATTTATTTCGTCATGTCTATAAGGGACGCTTGCAAAGATTTGTTACTCAGCAAATAATTAATTTAATATTTAAATTTGATCAAGTGGTTCAAACTAATCTAGGGCCCAGTCTGAGATCGAAGATTTTTAGTCAGGACTAGTCCAACCTTAGCTTTAAGCCTATCCACCATATGTCCAATCAAAAGAGCCTGAATCATTTCTAACAATTACATTTTTTAGTATAAATAGTTTAAAGGATGAAAGAAATATTGTTTATCTTTGACAAAGTATTTAACACCGTATAAAATGTATTTGACACATTCAATTTGGTATTCAATTTCGAACACCAACAATTAATACATACTGTCAGGTAGTTTAATTTGGTAATAAAATGATTTACAACACTGAATTTAACACCATTATATACATGCACATATATATATGTGTGAATATATGTTAGTATATATATATACGTATATAATATAATATAATATAATATAAATTTAAAATAAACGCGATGCTTAATTGTATAACTTGTAATTAAATAAATCATACATGAAGATATTTTACTTAATTTTGAACACAATATTATAGAGAAGAGTTCATTATAATTATGGTTAAGGATATATTTAATTATTTAACAATATATACCGAAATGTCCCAGACTCAGGAATTCCCAGTCACCCAGCTCAAGTATAGCTCCACTTAAGACTAACTACAATACATAATATTTTGTGTACAAACCAATTGAACAATTTACACCTACATGTAGTATAAAATTAAAAACTATGCAATTAATTAACTAATGAAATTACAGTAAACTAATTAAATAGGAAACAATTGAAATACACAACCCGTTAAGACTACCTACTATGTAACTAGAATAATGTAACATTAGATGGGGCCAATTAAAAATACCAGGAGGGTATCCACTAGGTTGGTATTCCAGCATTTCCGAGACATTTGGCGTACATAGTGCATTATTATTATAAATAATTTATTGTAAACAGTTCTTAATTTAAAAAAAACATAATACAGTAATAAAATAATGTGGTGAAATGTTTAATAGTATTTTTTTGATAAATAAACAAAATTGCACTTCAACCTTCTCATCTCAATTTCAATAACATTTTATTATTTTTGTAAATATAATAAGAAGATAACATTCGTTTTTTTAACTATTAGGTAATTAACAATTTGTATTTTATCAACAATCAACATTTTTTGCTAACTAATATAATTATATCAGCATTACCAATTCAACTTTTATAATTTTTGAAGTCACAAATCATATTATATTTTAAATAAAATATGCTGTTTAGTATATTACTGTGTATCGTTAAATCAAAAATATTTATAATTTATTTAAATTGAGATTTTATAAAGGAAAAATTATAAAATACTTGTACATTGTACATAATAGGTATACTAAAAATACTATTAAACTTTCCAGATAACTATTAATAATATATACCACAGATAAACAAATAACTATGAAATGTATAATAGAAATAATAAAAATAATAATAATCATAATAATAATAATAATAATAATAATAATAATAATAATAACTATTATTATTAATTAAACAACGTACAAATTAATAGTACAATTTTACAACATTGTTTTCTTACAAAATCTATATTGAAACATTAAATCTTAGAGGGAATGTATTAGGGACGAGAAACAAATTAATTTCAATATAAAGACAAATTGAATAACATTTTGATTTAAAAAAAAAAAATAAACAATAATAATTAATATATTATTATAGTTAAAAAAGTGCCATTTTTAGATAAAAATTTACATTATATTTATAAAAATAATAACTAAATATGAAATTACAATGTTTATCGTTAAATAATAATCAATTTGTAAAAAATAATTTTAGTAGATGAAGTTCTTGTAAAAATGTTATGGTTTGATTTATAAGTTTAATTGATCGATTAAATTTGGCTATTCATCTTTTTTTGTTTTTTTTTTTATATAATATATTTCTAACATGGAAATCTTCCAATATTTAAAAAATTCTTTTCATACTGCTAAATTGTTTTTTTTTTTTAGCGAATAAGAAAACTTCTAACCAATAATTTACACAGTTCTTAGCATGCGTTAATTTGTTATTTGGACTTTTTTTTTAATTATTACTTATCTGGATCTGTGTAGTAGTGTATAATACTTATATTATTATATAAAATGTTTGCCATTTAGTATTATTTACAGTAAGGAACCTACAGTTAACTACATGAAATAATTTAGTATACATTTTTTTTTTCAAAATAGATTTCCTTGTATAACTTAGAAATATTATGTATACACAGACAATAAAAATATTCAACTTTGTAGTTTTCCACAAATGATTAAGAATACAAATTTCAAAAATTATATACCACATGCTATTTGTCTAATAACAAATATCAATTTCACTCATAAACCAATATATTAGGTTTGGTTTGTATTAATATGTAGGTAAATTTTTATAATTAGGAATTGAAATATTTCATGACATAAAATTTACATAATAAATATAGACTTAAGAAGTCATTAAAGAGATATCATTCAGATGTTGCCACATAAACAATTATTACCATTATTACAATAAATTAAATATTAAGAAATGGGATCAATTATTTTTTTTTAACTAACCACAATTTATAACTAATAAACATAAAATAATTATAAATATATCGAGATTTCAATAAGAAAAATTGAGTTCACCAATTGGTCTTTGCTTAAAAAAACATGTATTAAACTTTTACAACTAAATGGCAAAATTATTAACAAATAAAATGAATTTATATTTGATGTAATAATGTTTACAATGAACTGTAATAATTTATGGTACGTAATTATATTAAAAAAAATAATACATTTATTATATTCATATTTTAATTCATTAAAACATGAATTTTAAAAATATTAATAAATTTACAGAGTTATTTTAAATAGTAGAAGTCCCAAAAAAACATAAAAGAACATTTTAAACAAAATTTTGGTGCTCTTGAAAAATAATAGTTTAGTATCAGCCATCATCGATATGGGTGCATGAAATAGTTGTCGAATAGATGGTGTAAATTCCTATTTTACTGATGTGACCATAACATGAAAATGTTGTTGTTTCCGATTTAAAACAAGTTTTTCCTAAAATATTTACATAAAATACTACCATGAATATTATTCTATCATAATATATTGAATAATTTCATATTCACAATAATTGTTTAAATATAACTATTTATATTTTATTGGCTGTGAACCATCAAATTTCAAAAACGTGTCAGGAATGAACATGTCAATGTAAATGTATTGAACTGATTTTTATGGCAAGATTTTTTAAATCTACACATGAAAATTTCAAACTACCATCATATTTTTCACTATTGGATGTAATAATCCGATTGGTCAGAATCCTTTTCATAACGTTTGGCTTCCTCTTGCATACTTTCTTTTATTTTCATTATTGCAGCGGATTCGGTCTGATCCTAAATATCGCATCAAAATAAATGTTAGGTACGTTGAGATATAAAAATGTACCCTTATTGGAGTGTCAACGGTCACCGTTTTACAACATTGATAACGACTAGGACACAAACAGCAATGTGAGAATATTGAAATATTATTCTTTATAATATGGTAAGAATTTTGTAAGTTTTACTTAAAAAAAATATTAGGTACCCAGAGATATAAAAATGTACTTTTATTGGAGTGTCAACGGTCACCGTTTTACAACATTGATAACGACTAGGCCACAAACAGTAATACCAGAATATTGAAATATTGTACTTAATAATATGGTATGAAATTAGTCATTATAACTTCAAATAAATGTTGTTTTCTAAGTAGCTATAATTTAATAACCTAAATGATTTTATTATATTGACTCTACAAAAAAAAGTTTAATTTTAATTTCATCATTGGTATAGAATTAAAGCTATTCAGTTTATTAAGTTGTTATCGACATAACTATAATATTTGGTTCAATTTTAAAAGTTTAAAAATATTATTACATATTGGGCATACAAAAAAATATATCATGGAATTAATGATGATAGATTTGCTAATTGCCAATAGTATTTTATCAATTGGATACCCATGAATTTGGATGTGAAAATATTAAAGCTATTTAATATTTAACCAAGTTCAAAATTGTGCCTAAAGATAGCATAATTCAAACTAGAAAATAGATAAAAAAAATGTAATAAATATCTATATCAATGGTAGTAATTTAGGAAAGATTTAAAAATTATATTAATTATACAAATTGTATACTTATAACTTGTTTTTGGTGTCAAATATATCAGGGTTGTTTATTTCTTTAATGTTTCCATACAAATTAAAAAAACAACTAAGACAATTTACTTAGTTTGCTTACTATTTTTAAAATAATAATTCAAAATTAACATTATCCAATAATGTTATAATGTTAACTATAATTCACAAAAGAAAATATAATAATATATTAATATTTAATTCAGTTTTTTTTTATTAATTTAAAGCTGGATATTAGTTTGACTCAGTCATATAGAATAAATTTAGTGTAAATAGAAAACTTAAGAAACCAATAAAGGTACACTTAAATTGACAAATAAGAATACAAATGTAAAAAAAACACATCCAGACCATAATATTTGCCAAGTACTTGTAAATAGATGTACGCATAAGCTCTAGAACAACCATTTAAAATTGAAGCACATTACACTGTATGCTTCTCAGCTTATACTGTTTTTAAAGTTATTTTATGTCTTTAATATTTTTTTGGGAATCTACAAAGTTTATAACTCACAGAGATTTTATTAAACACTTAAGGTAATTTATGACAAACTATCAATTATAAATTTAAAAAAAAAAATTGGACCAAGAAAGATGAATAACAACCTGATATAACGGTGAGATGAAAAATGGTGAACAATACTTCAAAAAAAATTTAAATGCATTTTAATACTACATTAATAAAAAAAAGCTAAATTTATAGTTTGTTTTTTATAAATGTCAATTGAAATATTATTTGCCACTTTATATTTCTTGGTCACCATACAGTTGTCATCACACCTTAATCAGTATGCAGTTCATCGATTGCCTTCAACGTCCATAAACTAATATATATCCAGGCCAATTACATTTTCTCCCGCTCCTCCAAATCCTGACAAATTATAATCGCCCATGCCACTTCCACTGTCTTCTCTCGGTGTCCCTGGGCCACCCGGTGCAGGTGAATTTTTCATACCATCTAGTCCTTCGCCATTCAAAACCGAATTCATTGTATTAGGACCCATTGGTCCTAACGGTCCACTATCTGATGCATTATTCATTGGAAAATCCTGAAAATGGTTATTTTAATTTTAAGAACACAACATTTAAGTATAAAAAAATACATATTTAATAAAATTTCTCTTAGTTTATAACTTACACCAGGCATATTCCCTCCGGTAACCGGCTTCATCATTGTGTACATACTTTCTCCTCCAGAGTTTGAAGAATCTTGAACATTATTGCTCAAATTAAGATCATAAACTAAATGAACTACCTATTTTTATTTATTTTACCTTGAGGACTTTGCATTATCGGTGTGCCTGGTCCAGGAGGGCCGCCTGATCCTGAGGGTCCCTAAATAATATTTTATATAAAACCTAAATCTCTTTTTACCAATACTTTTAGTTTTTACTCAATTGTAATTATAACTATTAAAACTAAGTACTATAAATATCTACATTTAGCTAATCTAATTTAATTGAAAATTTTATGTTATATATTTTTTAAATCAAATATTTAGCTGAAATATCAAAACTTACTCCGTAAGCTCCTGGTGATGACGATGAATAACTCATGGGCTGTAAAAATATTAATAAACATTTTGATTAGTTCAATAAAAATCATTTTTTCTTACATAAAAGTAACAGCTAAATAAGGTAACCTTATTTTTCTCAGAGAAACTCTAGTAATTTATATTTGCATATATTTAAATCGAAACTAACCATATAATATAACACAACTATCTAATCATCATTAATCATTGATTAATCCTATTTTTCATGTACACTACATAATCAAAGTTTATTCTATAGTAACAACAAGAAGGTAAAAACAATATTGATCAATAACAATATCTTAGTTTGCTTAACTATTTATTGATTCAGACTATTGAGGTCAAAATGATTGTGAAGGTACGGGTTAATGCAAATGTTATTTGTTATACTATATCTTATATATTCTTACAAATTATATTATGTTTATTACATGTAAAACGCTTTAAAGTTGTCATTTTTAATACTTATATTAACAAAAGTCAAAATGTACTCTCAAAATTGTAGTAAAAAATCAATTTCCTTTGTTATAGACTTTATAATTGAAAAACATAGCATGGAAATTTAAAATCATATTTTTGACTGAAATTTTTAATTTATTATCATGGTATTTATCTTTTTTTGCATCAGGAAAAACGCAGAATACATTTTTGTTAAGTAGCTTTTGGATATAACTTATTATGTTGATTTTTTTACTGAGCCATAATTTTGTTGATGGTAAGCGGATAGTGAATCAAAATTAGCGTGTAAGATAATGTAATTGTTATTTAATAGTATCTGCGACTACCTAGGGTCAACAAAGATCTTTAGACCATTCTTATAATGTTATAGTACGAAACCATGAGATCAAGACGTTAAACATCAGCTCTATAGGGTTTGGCTGATAAAATGCCTGAAACTTAATATAATAAATCTGTTATAGTTATATTATAGTATATATTTTTTTTTTTTTATAGTACTATCATGATAGTCTACTAAATTATAATTATTATAATAAGAAATTAATTAATTAATATAAAAATTAAATCAGCGATCACTAATATAAGTATTTAAATACATATACACTATCACTATGCCCAAAATTAAAAATCATATTTTCCTTGGTAACCTTATTAATTTGTTTAACGTTTTATATGAATATTGAAGAAGGACAAACAGTTATAGCAAAGATGATGTATATTAATTAATTATACATTACACCCAGAAACACAATTTCTAAAAAACTTAATTTGAAAAATAACAATACCTTCTTACAAATATTTCAATTATTTTATATTTTCTTTAATTAATTCATTTTAAAAGTAACTACTAAAGTATTAAAAATTGAAATAACAAAAATATTATAATATATGTAATTTGTATATTTATTACTTATTAATAATTATTGTAAAATTATAATATTAATGTGATCACTTTACAGGGTGTCAGTTATATTTTACATTTTAATACCTATTCAATTTTTTCTAAAAATATTATTTTCTAATATATCTGTTATAAGTTTTAGGTTGGTAGAATATATCAGGGTATCGGATATCGAAAAAAAGGTATTGGCCTATCCTTACTTATAGTATGATTTTTATTCAAAGTTTTAATTGAAAAAAACAATAAGATAAAAAAAGCAGTATTCAAATTCTCTATAAAACAATATATAATAAACTTCTCATAGAAGTAATATTATAATTTATAACTCTAGTTATAGTCTAAGCGATTAGACAACTATTTGTATTTTTAATTTTTATAATGACAACGATCATGTTTATCCAACGGCGGTTAAGGCAGTATTGTTTTATTTGCATGAAATGTATTTTTATAATTTTATTTCAGTCAAATCTATGACAATTAAATCAATAATGCTATAAAATAGTTATTATTATCATTTCAAAAATTTAAAATATTAGAGTACTCACAGTATTTGCATTTGGTTGCCATTGTGGCCTTCCAACAAGTCCGCCCATAGATAAAGGCATATTTGGTCCACCACCACCACCAGGGCCCAAAGTTGTATTAGGTGGAGGTCCACGCATTCCAGGGCTATATGATCCTAATGGACTCATGTTTTGAGTGTTTTGACCACGGGGAGGATTCATACGAGGATTCATTGGTCCCATACCTCCTGTTCATAAAATAAACAAAGCTCATAAAAAAAATTTTTTATATATAATAAATTAAATTTACACAAGCAACAACTAATTATGAAGTGAATATAATGAACAAATATAATACATAGAAGTAGCTTATAGCTTCTCATAGCTTGACTAGTAAAACAGTGTATGGTTTCTTAATGCATTAATTTAATGGGCTTTAAAATAAAATAAACACACAATTATTGTAAAATGATAAATTAACAATTTAAACATTTGTATTAATTAGAAAAAACCACTCCGATAAAATTAAAAATTAAGCAACCTAATTAGAAAAATCAAAACTATTTAATTATGATTTCCAACAATTATTTATGGAAATACTATTTTATCAACTTTTGATTAAAACATAAAAATAAATATCATGAAACCTAGTAACAGAAAGTATAAACTTTATAAGTGAATCTAGAAAAAAAAAATCTGGTGATAAAATATCTACAAAATGTAAGTACGAATCATCCTTAATTCCCTACAGTATATAATTAACTTGTTACATGACATAAATAATGTTAAAATAAGTCAAATAGAACATAGACAACTTCAAAAGAAAAAGAAAATTAATCACATTGATATAGTGATATAGTTGATTAACATGAACAATGATTTATCATTGAATTTAAACCTACTCAAGAACGTGTTACAATAAATCTTTGTACACAATGAAAAACGATTCTGAATAAAGGCAGCCTATAGTTCTGAGGATATTTATATTTTATATTGCTCAAATATATTGTCAATATTCAATATTAATCAGTGGCAAAAAATATTTTTAATAATAATTCAAAAAGAGAATATGTCCCTAGAACTTTTATTAAGTATTTAATGTATTACCAGACTCATTGTTGTTTATAACTATAATTTTAGATAATAACTTTTGATAAAGAGTGGAAAATTGTAAAAAGTTCATCCAGTCTAAAATTTAAATTATTAATTTTAACAAATTATATAAGATATAGGTACGAGATTACTATTATTTTTATTTTCTTCTAGTTAGATAATTCCAAATCAAATTAAAATTGTGTTTCATACATAGAAAAATAAATTGTATATATATTTTTAAATAAGAAATGAATGTTTAAAAAACTAATTTATACTTATTAAAACTTTTTTATCGCATATTTAAGTTAATCAAATTTTAATCATGAACCAAACAACTACTACAGTAAAACCATTTTTAGTTAAACATGTTATAAGTAAAATTTTGTTTTTAATTAAAATAATATTTATCAAAGTATCATTATTTATTAATCTTTTAATATATCTTTTCAACAATTTTATACTTCTTAAAGTAACAAATAAAAATGTAGACAATCAGTCTTATGTTTTAGAAATAATAAAATGCAAAAATAAATGGAAATATGTTATAAGTTTATAACACCCAATAGTTTGAATTTTTATGCATTCATATAAAACTATAGTAATTATTTTATTAATTTTCAATCTTAAATAAAAACACAAATACACCAAATATATACACACATTTGTATAACTTAACAATATCAAACACAGACAGTGAATGAATTTAAATTAAAGATATATCAAGGGGAATGGCAGTGGTTATTTATTATTCGTATTTATAATGGATACATAAATTTCATTGTTTTTATGACGAAAACTATTAAAACTAAAACAAATTACTATAATTCATATTTTAAGCATGAATGCACTGAAAATATATATTTTTTTTTAGATTTTAACACTGCCATTTCTCTTAACAATTTAAATTGTTATACCATGCTCTTTACAAAAAAAAAAAGTCAACAAGATGAATAGATCATAATAATCACTTTAAAATATGTATTCAATACAAACATTTCAAGAGTAAAATTAAAGAATAAAGATCTTTGGTTTGAAAGGCCTTAAACATTATTATAAATTCCAATATAAACAAACAGTGTTATTTTATTATGATTATAACATTAACTACAAAACATTTGAGTTAAGAAATAGTGTGCATAATAAAATTTAAATAATACTGGCCTACCTTGCCAACCTACAACATATTCTCCAGCTTCACCTACAGGAGAAAAAATTATTAAGCAAATTATTGATTAATTATATATTTTATACTTTCGTAACTAGTTAATAAAAATCAGTAAAACAAACCTAATTACACAAAAATAATATTTTATAATTAATTATAATCTAATATTAGATTTAAGGAGTGATAACATGTTAATTACTATAAAATAGTTTACCTTGTCTTAAAGGGTCCATACCAGGCATCATTGGCTGACCTGTAGGCTACAATATAAATTATTTATAAATTTAAAGTCACTCATATATTTAGTGGTAATTTTATATTCATAAACTTACAGAATTAAAATCATTTCCTAATTGTGACATGCGAATTCCAGGCCTTGGACCACCTGGATATCGAGGACCCATAAAAGGCTAAAATAACATAAAGTAAATTTGACTTATACCTTGTGCAATTAAATATTTAAGACAAAATGATTAACAACAAACCTGATTTGATAACATTTGTCCATGTGATGGTGGTTGAGAATGAGGAGATTGTTGTGCTGAAGGATGACTTGGAGGTGATGGTCTCATTGATGAATTCTAAGATTTATACAAAGAAATTATTTATTTTTATTTTTTTTATCAGAAATTACTACCATTCAATTTTACAAATTATATTAAAATATACGAACTGGAAAAAATCCTCCAGGCATTGGACCCCCTGGCATTCCATCATTTGGGGGCATTTGTCCTAAAGGACTAGGAGAAGGTCCAGCATTCTATAAATAAATATATTTAATTTAATTGTCTTAGTTATATTAATCAATAAAATAAACATTTAGTGATATAAAATACTTACATGTGCAATACCATTTACACCATAACCTGAGTTTACAAAACCCTAAACAAATTTAAATTCATATTACTATAATAGCTATACCTATATAATTATCTTCGGAACTATTGAAATACATACATAATCATGAAATGCTTTAGCTTCACTTGAATGTTCACATGTATCACGGCGTTCTGGAGCAGCACAATATAAATCCCAAAATACACTAAAAATATAAAGCAAGTTAAACAGAAAAGAATTTATAAAGATCATTTTCATAATGATGAAAAGGGTATAGGCTCTAATTAGTTTACTTGAATGTAAGATAAACATAATTTGTTATGTTACATTTTCAAACCATTATTAACATATAAGATTTAAGAATGACTATGTTTAGCAAAAAAATATAAATATAAATATAAAAATTAAATTTTCAAGTCTACTTACAAACATCATAATTTAATTGTAATAATAAATATATTCCCATAGCAAAATAAAAATGTAACATATTTTTTACAATGTTGTATCAAACTATGACTGACATAACATTCATAAAAAATTTAAGAAAACCTGAATAAATTGAAGCAAATTAACATAAAAGTTCAGTTTTTAAAATAAAATAGTTTTAATTATAGAAATTTTCAATAATTTTTAATGTATCAAAAGATGTTAGTATCACGATCTCTTGACCCAGCACATAAAATAAAGAAAATATTTAATTCTATATAATATGTACCCTAATTAGGATCCTATCACTGGATAAATTCTCTTATCATTGTATAAATAATAATGTAAATAATGTAAGTAAGTCACTTTGCTCATCATATTACTGTATAATATTATACAGATAGTATAAGTTGTTAATACTTTTAATAACAAAAAAACAATTTAACGGTTTTCCAGGATAAATAAATCAAAATTTGAATTTTTTAAGCTTTCTTAATGCAAAAAAAAAAATAAGTTTATACACATTATAGTACTTACCACCACCAAGAATGCAGGAATCCTGGTGGTTCACCTAATGTGATATTCTTTTCCCATCTAATCTAAAGTAATAAACAAAAACAACTAATATTAATACATAATTCATTAATTTAAAAATTATAATGAATAAGTTAGATATAATGAATATGCAAAGTCATACTAAAATAATGTAATACAAAAATAAAATTTTAAGCGGGTACTCACTTCATTTAAAAATGTTTGAGCTGCTTTCTGAGCTCCAATATGTAATAAATACTCATAAACATACAATGCTAACCTAAAAAAATAAATATTGAATTAGATTTTTAATATATACCTAATATTATAGTGAAAATTTACAAAATATGTAAACATCTGTCCAACTATTTTTTTTAGCATTTATAGTTTAATTAGTAACCTGCTAAAACTCGAATTTAAGATTTTAGAAGGTTTAGTTTTTAATCAGCTACCTGACATACTTTCAAACAATTTCAACCAATAAAAAACGGGTTTCTTGCTAAGATAATTTAATAGTTTATACTATATTGATATAATAAATGGCTTCTTTCTGAATTTAAGACTGATTTATTATTATAAAATACCTATACTGCTGTGGTATGACTATTTTTTTATTTCTGCTTATGATGTATATTTAAATTTGCCATATATAATAATTTTTTACATTATTTTATTGACAATTAGTATTAACAACAAATGCAAAATGTTCCCTCTCCCCTCCCAAATTACAGTATTAAATACAAGTGATTTAAGTATTAAACTAAAAAATAACCAACATTTTATACTAATATTTTTTTTATATATATAATGTATATTATAATATCGTAAATATTATTTACTACTCACACATCTTCTTTTAAAAACATAATATCCGTTAAATGAAAGGTAAATTTATTTTAAATTCATAAAACTATGTATACTGTATAGGTATTGTTACACAACCACGTAATATTAACCTTCAATTTTCAACAGTTAAGTAAATTGTTTATTGAAAGAAGAATATTTACCTACTTATTTGTTTACATGCATTACAACAAAATAAAATCAACAAAGATGTCTGTTTAGTAATTTTGATAGATTTTTATATTAATGTAAACAACATTTTGTTAAATTAGAAATCAAGTTAGGTAGAGTCTAAAATTAATGATGAACCACAAGAATTTATAAAATAACATTTAACATAGAAGTATTTAAACAACAATTATTAAAAACTGATGGAATACAGAATCAGAGCCAACTCATCCTTATATTATAGAATAGGTAGGTAGGGTTTAGATTTGTATGCTAATACATATCTGTGGATGGACCAATGTCACATTTGAACAAATTAGAGACTATTAGACGAGTGTAATTACTCACTAATATTTGATTATGATATTTGTGCTAAAATCATGTATAATATTATGGGCCTATCTTGACATTAGGCATGACATTGACCATGTTTAAATCAATTAATAAAGTTTATAAATATAATAAAAAGTTACTAATATTTATGTGCAATTGAATATTATCATTAGTTTATTTAGTCAAATTTATTATCCAGCAAGCAAGCCAATGTGAAAATAAATAATTACAAATGTTTTATTAAATTAAGAATGTAGTCATTAAAACCCCAACTTTAGTCAAACTCATAATTGTTATAATTCTTTTTAAAATTCAATTTTTCAACAATGTTCTGTTTTGATATTGGCCCTTCTTGCGTCAGTCCACAGATAATTATTATGAATTGTCATAAAAAGATAATTTTTGTATACATATTTGTTTTACTTATCCAATTCAGATTATTGGTAAATCAAATATTAACTTTTAGGTATACATTAAGGAAACTACAGTCATCACACAAAAAGGTGGAATTTAGACCCAACCTGACATCATTGCTAGATTTTTAATATTGAATACATGTTTTAATTGAAACAATTTTATTAGGTATTTGATTTTTCAGTAGAAATTATACATAAGATTATCAGAAAATATACAAACGGTATTTTTAATTTTAATTATAACACATAAACAGTTATTGGAACACAGAAATTGCTTCGATTAAAACATATTTAACTTATTGAAGAATCAAAATCTAATTAAAACCCTAAAAACCGAGCTAAAAACCAAAGTTCAACGTTGTGTCAGGAAAATTAATTTCCTTTTTGTTTTGAATGGCTTGAAAATAGTGTAAGGTAAATATCTTAAGGTTCATTGATATATACCTGGGCAAAAAGATTAGACTCACTTTCTAATGATAAAGTTTAAATTATAAGTAACAATAATACACTGACGCCCCCGAATTACTGTCACTTCAACTTACCTATTTTTTTTTTCCCAGAATTTATTCAAGGGGTGGTTGGGGTCCAAAAAAATGTATTTAATTACCTAGTTTTTTTCTGTTCCTTTCCTGAGTATACATACATTTTATTGCTTAATAAACACAATTATTTAATATGTAAAATATCAATACATTTTGATGACAATATCAGGAAATATTTAAAAAATAAAAATAAAATACTATGAAATTAGGCCGGGAGGGGGGTTCCCCCCCTGGTGTGCCTCTGAGGCCAACTACAGTCCCTTTATTGCTTATTTTAGTACTTTAAATAGTTATCAGATTTTTTTATATTGCCCTTACTTAATTAAAAGTTTCAAAATCAAAGCCTATACCTCTATAATACCTACCTCTATAATAATTATTACTTAAGTATAAAACAATGGATTTTATGAATGTCTAATGAAATTTATCGATAATAATCAATGTTATTAAAAATGTTCAGTAGTTTTAGATGTGCACTGATCAATATGATGTATACCTATATAATTTTAATATTAATTGTTTTAAATATGAATGAAGCCTTTAATCATTTAATTCTTGATATGCGTATGGAGTGTGATTACTGATTATAGAAGAGAACATAATATTTTAATTCATCAATATACAGATTATAATTATGTCAACAATTACTGATAGGTAGTTCAAAATATTGTTTTTTCTGATCTAATAAGCATAGAAAAAATCAAAACAAAGATAATTCATAAAAGTACATAAGTACCATTAGTTTGATATTTATACTTACCTACCTACTCAACAAACTATAAATACCTACATAATATGATAAATCTTAATCAATAACAAAATAATGTACATAGATTGAACCTATTTATATTTTATAGTTATCTAGAGTTAACACTCATTAATATTTAATACTGTAATAACTTTTTAAATCTAAACATATAAATAGTACCGCCATACAGAAGTACAAGATAAACAATGGAAATAACTATACAATATGTTATACCCACATACCTAGATACGCAACCACCTAAACTAGGAATGAAAATAGCAACTCACTTTTCCCTGGCCTGAGCATCAGATGGCACTGTTGCGCCCTTTCCTTTTGCATACATCTCGACTTAAATTGGTTCAATAGATTTGGCCTCGAACGAAATCTGCAGGAACAAAATTGGCCACACTATGCAGACACTGACAGTAGCACAATAGTTGTCATTGTAGTGTATGTTTTAGTGGAAGTCTTCAAGAACGTTTGGACGCTTGTGCGCTGTCTTTATTCAGTTAAAAAACAAAAAAACAAAAACTGCCGGACGTGTCGCGAGTCTGATGTTTTCGGTTTTGTGCGTCAGATGAATTACGAGTCAAACAATTCAAAGTGCCGTTTCACCAAACTGTTGATCGATTATCCAGAATTAAATGGTCACTGCGGTTCAGAGATGCAAACTACTTCTCGACGCACGATTTCGACGATGGTTTTGCTCCAGAGTACATACACTCGATCTGCGGAGTACGTACCTCTAATAAAAGTACACGTTTACGGTCCTGATTATATTATATTTTTATCGATGAACAGACAGATGGACGGACGACTGGACGTGACGAAACAAACGCGGAAAGAACAAAACAAATAACATATATTTGAAAGAGTAAAAAACACCGTACTCTTTTCCTCCCCGAAAAATTAAATCGATGCGGAGAAAAATATCGGTGCATTACCTGTGATCGAGGTGCAGCGGGTAGAGACGACGTCCAAGATAATTCTTTCCGAAAATGATAATAATCAAACACTGATAAATGGCAGCGGTGTTGCCAACCATCCGGGCCGCACACTTCCGCTACTTTCCACTGTCGACTATCACTTCGCCCTAGGTAGGTACGTCCCACCAACAATTATGCTGCTGCTGCTGCTGCGACGCTGCGTAAGATGAGAGTCCGATGACCGAGAAAAACGCGAAACGAAACAATGAAAAAAATATACCGAAATATTATCACGGGTGGGCAGTGTTCGAGTTCCCCACTCATTCAATACGACCGAAACTACAACCTACGCGTATTTTTTTTTCTAAACTTCCATACACACATTATACACACGGTCACCGGGTCAACACACACACACACTTATTATACAGTACGTGGTGAGGTACTCAGATTTTTAAAATTACAATAGAACTTTTTGCAATTCTCCTATTGTATATTTGTATTGATCCCCAGTTAAAAAAATATTGTTTCCGATATTATTGTAGTTTTGCGATCTTATTACAAATTACAATTAAATGGTTAATAAAAAATATTTTTATTATTAGGTAAAAATATCAAATAGCGATAGGTAGGTACACGACATTTTCATCATTTTCATTGAATGTTATATAATGCAATATGCACCATAATAAAATGTTAAAAATTATTCAAGGTATATCGGATGTCTAAGATTTGAAAATGTGATACAAAAATCATAATCATTTTTTTTCTGCCTATAACAAAAGCTTTCATGATGGGTAGTTGAAACTTTTAAAGTATATTAATATATTATTATATTTTATATATACACACAATAAATTACATTTTCAAATGCAATGTTTTCGAAAAAAAAATAATTCAACCTACTGTATTAATATATTAATTTATACTTATAGTAAAATAATAGCAATAATATCATAAAATATACCTACTATTAGTAATATTGGCTGTCAAAGCCAATTACCTACACGATTAAAGTTTTTTCTTACACAATTGTTGCATATTTTCAAGATTTTGACTTCATATTATATGGCATTAAAAGACGAAAGTGCCATCAGTGGGTGGCTTCTTCCTTTTGTATTATTGCCCATACCCTTATTGTGCCTTATTGTGTACAGATTGTGTATATTATTAAAAAATTATTATATGGCATATTTTAAATTTGGACACTTTTAGTGCATACAAATTCACGCTCTACTTATATGTATTAGTTTTGATTACCTGTTTTTAAGGACATTCACTTCCTCCTGGTATTAATTTAGTGCATACGATTTGAACTCTGAATAATTAATATGCATCTGTTTCAAACTTTCAATGAATAAGTGAGAGTTTAATTCTCTTGAAGTTTCCATAACACCCATAGTACAACTACAATCTGAGTAATGAATTGATATACTTTACATGATTGTTCCTTCTTCTGTGGTTTTGAATCCATTAGGAATTGTCAATATATTATTGCCTTTGCGTTTTGAAAATTGTTTTCCATTAGGTACCTACACAGTTCGAGCAAACTTTTGTTTCATATGCCGAAGATTTCATCAATCATACATTTTGAAACTATTTAATTATATTATCTTGCTTTAATGAGATGTATATCAGTTAGGTACCTACTCTTGAACTGACGTCAATAATTGTCTTATGCATAATACTCATTGTTTGTGATTCGAATGTGGTGTCCATTTTACAAAATTGCAGAAAACAATTATTTGATTTATCAACAAAATGTTGATAGCTTAATACATATCTGTATAAGAAGTTGCAACTTAAAATGAAAGAGCGTCAAATGGGCATGTATTTTGTACTACATACATATTTTTTATACAATTTTGGAGTAGCTAAATTTCCATTATCAGCAGCCTGTTAACGTTGAACGAGTTTTCATTTTTCACGGATGACAAAATGCACTCAATATTTTTTTTTGGACCCATAGGTATATTTTGAAGGGCTTGAAACGGATATTGGATACAGATTTTGAATACCGGTTAAAACCGTTAAAACCCGAAGTCAATATCAAAACCGAAAATCAAATCGATAAAATCATTAATGGTTATCAAACCCGAAATTTAAATCAGATAAAATAAATATCGATATCTGAAACTGAAATTAAAATCAAAAAAAATAAATATCGATATACGAAACAGTCGAAACTGAAATTGAAATCGGTAAAAATGTTTTCGGTTTCAAGCCCTGATGTTTTGCATGCCTTGGTTAATTGGTTTCATTATAATTGATTTATTTTTTGGACATAACTTTTTCACAATAGGTACCTTTTCTTTTCATGTTTTTACATGTGTCACTTGACATATTTTCATTGTCATATTCTGTCTTATTATTTTGCATAACTTGTTCAATAGATTCAATAGAATTGTTTAAATAGTTATTTATAAATTTTTCGTCATCATTTGATTACGTCATATTCATTCCCAAAACGTTCATCACACTGGAAATTTAATTTTGGTGATTTTGATTCAGGAGATTACTCGAATCTAAATTTCTTACTTTTAAAAAGTTGCATGCTATTATCATACTGTTCAGTGTTCATACTTGTAAGATGTTTAAGAAAACATTTGTCAGCATCGAATTTAAAAATTTAATTTTTTAGCTCTTTGAAATCGTTCTCAACAGATACCCGATAATGCCATACGATATGGAGATTGAAATAAATTAACTTAACCTAGTTAATAGTTTTATTAGTATTTATTCAATTTATATAAGTATGTTAATATTTTATTCAATGTAAAAGGTTGATCATTTAATACAAGGTTTTTCATAAGATGGTAGTTAAAAAATATTGATATTATATATAAATGGTTACAAATTTACAATTTATATTTTTAAAGCATTTTAAGTTCAACTTTATACAAAATTCATCAAAATCACAAATATTTTCAAATTTTTTTGTAGTTTTTAAAACATGCAATTTTTAATTTTAACTTCTATGGTTTGAACATTTAATTCAATAGATTTCTTACAAAATTTCTACTACTGGAGAAATTTAGAGTAAAGCCTCAAAAGTTTATTATGAATGATCGAAGTTCAAATGTTATAATATCATTGGATACTATTCAAACGTATACAATAATAGGTATATAACGACTTTTCCTCTAAAGATTTTTGTTATATTATGATTATTCAAAACATATTAATTGTAAAACCTTGAAACATTCCACTATTACTTAAATTATAATTGTATGTATATACCAAATGAACATATCAAAATATTTAGAATAATTTTAAATTTTTTATTTTAAGCATTTTGAATTAGATTTTTTAAAGCGTTAAAATCTATATTGAAGGCTCGATCAAAAAACTTGAAAATTTTATCTCAAATTTAAGATCTCAATATTATTGTAAAACTTGACTTACCTAAAAGTTATAAAAGTTTCTCTTATAGTAGCTTAAAAATATAAAATATATATGGGTGGATTTATTTTTGAAACGAAGTTTTTTATAAGCATTTTAAGTTTCAATTTTGACGAAACTTGTCAAAATTACTAAAAATTTTAAATTTCAATAGCTAAGGGCACATATGGCTTGAAAGTAGAATACGAAGTTCCTCATAAGTAGTTTTTAGTTCTTACTGTAACCTAAAAATATAATAAATAAATATGCACATCTTTGATAGGCATTAAATATTTTACCATTTGCAATTATATTAATAAATTATTAAGAAAAATAGTTAGGTAGGTACATTAATTTTAAGCTATTGCTGCCAATATGTTATACTACAAACCTATTATGTATCACAGTATCACACACACATTCAAACACTTCGTTTTATATATTATACATATTGGATGTGATAACAATTATATTATATTTATATTAAATAATATTTCAGTTTTTATCCATTCCATATACATAACTATAATCATATTATTGATAATACTGGTATACTAGCTGGTATAGCGGTAATTGCGGTAATTGTGTCATATATATTGGAATAAATAAATAAAGATACTGACATACTGTAAATTAAATTAACTAATTAATTATTTTATAATGGCCATGCAAAAGTAAATTGACCCATTGGTATATAGGTAATAAAAATGTTAATTGTATCGCACAAATAAAAAAATATGTTCCATAATAGATAAGCAAAAAATATAATATACCAAATAGACAATAGTATCAAAAGTTAGATACCCAAGTATATGTTAATAATAGGTATATACATTAATCATTAATTTAAAAAAACTGAAATCAATGCGTTACTGACAGTATTATTCATAACAGTTATTAGTTAATTTCATAATGAACATACCTAATCAGTTACCAGTTAATTTAACAGTAACTCAGCCACCCACCACCCATTTTGATTCAGTTGACACCACTATTAAAGATTACAATTTAAATAAAAACGACTTTTCGTGAAATGGTTTATCAATGAATTCAAATTTAGCACACCCATAACAATAGGTAGCCTAGGGGCCTATTTTCAAAGCAATCGAAAACGTTTTTCGATCACCGGTCAGTCAAAAATAACATTGATTTCGATTTTTACCAAAAAGCATATTCCCGAATCCTAGATTTTCGACTGTGATTGGTAGTATTAATTATTATAACTGGTATTCGTGTACTTGGTGGTTCATTTGCACCATGGGTTTTACATGGGTGGTGCAAGTGGACAAAAAATAATTTGTCGAATATAATATTTAATTCATACATATAATATTATTAAATTATAAATAATTTCTTGACTATAAATAAAATATCAAAAGGTTTAGTGAAGCACGTTTTTGTTGGTTGGTAGTAATGTGATTTACTTTAATTTTGAGGATATGGTCATATATAGACACAAAAAACGGCACTGATTTTACAGTTTTTACTTTTTAGTCGGAAGATTGTCTTGTGATAACTGCAATATAACTGAATATGTTTATAAGAATTTTAG